GACGAACGCTTGTATCGACGCGCACGCTGCCCTTGAGGTGACAGGGGAAGGCAGGAATGTTACCCGTTGGCCCGAGGGAAGCTCGATGCAACCCTGATCAATTAGAATTTTAATCGGCATTTTGCCCAAAAAGTCCGTCCCCAACAAGCACGGAACCGCCAGCGAGGACGAGACTAATATCGGCCCGGAGAGTTTGATATCGCCAATGCAAATTTGTGCTCGAATTTGGCCTATGATACCCAGCGAACCCCCGTTCGCTGCGTAACACGGAACGGTGACTGGGAGCAAGGGGCGGCTTTGAACGGGAAGAATATTATAAATCAAGTCTGACACAATGGTCGCCGAAGCTCCCGTATCGACGAGGATACGCACCTCGACCCCGTCAATGCGACCCGCGACCACGGACGAGCCTGCCGACGCAGCAACAATGCGGTGGGCCAATTCCGTCCACTGCCCCGGCCCGAGCACCCTCTCGACCCCGCCGCCACCCAACAAACCAATGGGCGTACCCCGAGGCCCGTACACCGAAACGCGCGAGGTGGGGACAGGTGTGTGCACAGGCCGAGCATGTGGGGTGCCGCGACTTGCCGGGTTGCGATGCGGAGGCCTGTAGGCTGGAGCGCCGTCCGACCGTCCCGGCTGTCGTTGACGAGGCGCCCGGCATTCCGCAGCCACGTGGCCCTTGCGGCCACAGTTGTAGCACGTGATGAGCGCCTTGGGGTGCTCCTGGCGATCCGGTGTGGTCCGAGCCGGCCTCCCTCCGGATCTCCACTCCACCGGGCGACCCGCCGCGAAGACCTCCTCGGAGGGGGGGATGGTCGGCGTCCCAGCGCACACCGCAGCTGCGCCCTTGGGGACGAGAGGTGATCGACGCTGCGCTATCAGGTGCGCGTGGATGTGTCTTGCTGCCCGCAAGGAGCACATGTCCGCGTCGTCCTCTGCGACGATGACGATCTGTAGCTCCTGGGCCAACGCCAGGAGCTTCTCCGTCACCATCGCGTCCACCCCTTCGCCGTCCATCCGCGGGAAAGCCGCTTTTGCGAGGGCCAGGAGAGCCGTGCGATACGCCAGCGGTGGCTCCTTCTGGCCCCTGCACCGCTCGTGGAAGAGTTTGCGGCAGTCCGACGATGGCCCGTAGACTATGGTGAGGACCTGGAGCGCCGACTGTAGCGTAGATCGCGTTGATCTGGGAGCTGTGATGAGCGTAGCAAGGGCGTCATCGTCCAGCATGGCCGGTTAGCGCACTCAACGCCTCGTTGTCCGTCCAGCCGGCCATCTCTTGATGAGCGAGAAAGCGGCGTTGAAAGGCCCCCCCAGTCGCCGCCGTCTGAAACGAACTCCTTCAACACCGGCAGGCGTTGTTGAAACGATGGCTTCGTCTCTGAGAGGTGCCGCGCGCCATTTCCGGCCTCTCCACCGGTGTCTGTGGGGCTGGGGACACCCATCGGCGGTCGCGCAGGTGATGACGATGCGCCCGCCGATTGGTCCTGACAGCGGGCGTCCGTTGGTGATGACGTCACCACCGCTGATTGGCCCACAGCGTCCACGTGGCGCTGCGACCCTCCAATCGCCGTGGCGGACACTGTCATGGCGGCAAATCCGAAATCTGGTGGCTGTGTTTCGGCGGGAATGGCCGTTGAACGGCGTTCGTCTCTCTGCCGCCTTTGCGCCCGCAGCCCCGCGCGGTTGATTTCCTCCAGCGTGGAAGCCGCGGCATACAGCAGCTCAGCCAGTCGAGAGTGAGCCGCCTGCAACCCGTCCTCCATCGGCGGCCACTCCTCCAGCGGCGGCTGCTGTTGGGGCGTCTGGGACATCCCAGGATCGTCGGCCGCGGCCTCTGGCGCAATCCCAGGCGAGCCGTCCTCCTCCTGGGGTTCCTGTGATCGGTTTGTACTCCTTGTGTCCATTTTAAGACCACTCCTGACACCAGTTGTAGTGGGTTCCAGGACACGGAGACGGCAGAATAGAAGCAGCACTATTTATTTAAACCTTAACAAGGGTTACACTAGAAGGGGTAGCGGCCCCTCCACCCATATAACTCAGGAACACCCCAGGCTCTCTAGCCTAAGCTCTAGGCTCCCAGTTCCTCCTGGTAGGGCTCTAAGGGAGGCTATCAGATCCGGCCCTGGTTAGGCACAGATCTCGGCACCCCGCCGACCAGACCGGCCCTTAGAAGGACTCTGACTCTGGGGCTCTGGGGCCGCACCACTGGCTTGCTGTGCCGGCCCTGAAAAGGGCAGCGGTCACAGGAGTTCCAGGGTCTCACCTAGCTGGCCTTCTTTCTTCACTGGTTGCTTCAGCCTCGGGCCCCACACTCTGCCCCGAGCTCCCTGGCTCCCCGCACTTTATACCCACTGGAGCCTTAGCGGACGTTGTTGTAGCCACCAAGGTGTGGGTGAACCACACCTTCCCGTGTCATGTGTTTATTCCCCATAGCACCCCTACACATACCATGCCAGGTACTCATTTGAGGCTGAGTCGACCTTGGGGAGTACCAGGACCGGTTCAGATCATTGTCACTGGTTTTGACCGAGAGCAGGATTCGAACCCTGGTCGCTGGGTTCTTAGTGCTTCCGCTCCTCACAAAGACAAAGATCCCCTGTAATGCATTAACAGACTGTCGGGGCAAGTGCTATGAGCGAACATTTAAAAGACATACACACATACACGCGCGTGACTGCCATTGGCTGGTAGTGACATCATCGCGGGCAGGGCGTGGTGCTGGGGGAGGGTGGATGGGAAGGCGTTTACTGTGAGGGGGTGCATGAGCCAGGTGAGTGGAGGAGGAGTCACCCAGTGAGCGTGGCTCACTATCGGCCTCGTCCCCTTCGGATCCCCCACTCTTACCCCCACCCCGTCCCCGGGGGAGGGTGGGGGCACTGACCCCGGGGCGAGACCCCTGCCATGGGGAGCCAGTGGGGAGGCGGGGATAGAAAATTATGAGAATGTGCTGTGACATCCGTTCCATCTGTCCCGAGCCGCAGGGAGGAGCAGAAGCATGAGGCGCAATGCCACCCGTGCTAAGGAGACCGCACACCTCCGTGTCTGTCCACGTGTCTTGCATATCCACGTGCGTGTACATGTGCTGTCGTGGCCATGTGTGCTCATGCGTCTATATGTACATCTTTCTTTACACGTGCTGATGTGTCTTTGTGTTCGTGTGTTTACACGTGCTGATGTCTGTGCGTTCGTTTCCATGTATCTGTGTGTGTTTCCATGTATCTGTGTGTGTTTCCATGTATCTGTGTGTGTCCGCGTAGGATTGGGATCGGTAGTGCAGTGGTTAGCGCTCTGCGCAACGGACCTTGTGACCTAAGATCGATTCCTGTCCACGGTTAACACCAATGGTGAATATCTGAACCAGTCCTGGGCCTCCCCTCAGTCGACTGCCTTAAATGAGTACCTGGTGCAGTGTGTAAACAACGCCACTTGCCCTAACAGTCTGTTAAAGGCTATATGGGGGATCTTTGTCTTTGTTTTACCTCCTTTGTGTGAGTGGGGTTATCTGTCCCTTGAGGCTGGGGGACCCATGTGTGGGGTTAGCAGCTCTTACACTCATGCACGTATCGACTCACACGAACGCACGTGGCACACACGCTGCACGCATGCATAATGCATGACCACATGGTGGCTCACATCCACGGCTGGGACCTTCTGGCTGTGTGAGCTCCATGCTGCCTGTGTGGACTCAATGCTGCCTGTGTGAGCTCCGTACTGACTGCGTGAGCTCCACGCTGGCTGGAGGTAAGACGGCCTGTCTCGTCTAGAATGGGGAATTCTGCTGTCAAGCCGCTATACCTCACTCGGCAACGTCCTGCAGGTGCGTGCGTTGTGGTCGTTGATGTTAAAGTCGGTCGTGAGAAGTCTGAAAAAATCGGTGAGGAGGCTTTATTGGGCAGATTTTGTTTGTGGGCGAGTGGGTGGATGAGTGAGTCGGTGGACAGGCAGGTGAGTGGGTGGGTGAGCAGGTGAATGCCCGTGAGCCCCTTTCATGCAGCAGTGGATAGTCTGGCTGTGTGATAACAACAGCGTGTGCAAGCAATCACAGTATGCGTTCAAGAATACTGTGCTGGGTGGTGGAGGGCTTAATGACAATAACTACAGTATAAAAATAACACTTCCGCCTCGTGGCATCACCCAGACTCTGGTGGGCGATGATGGTAGCAGCAGGGGATCGTGGCGGCAGCAGCACTGCAGCCCGATGCCAATGTCGAGGTCGTGCTGTTTGCCATGACGAGAGAGAGACTTTCATGTCGTTTAACACGTAGCGCTTTCGTGACCAATATCCATAACAGATATTTTTTTTGGGTTAGATCGTGTCAATATTAATGTGTCGATAATCTCGCCAACACCCGACACAGCCAATTAGTAGAGTTTGTCACCTGTACAATATTATTAGAGTTTGTGGTTCTTCTCTTGAAGGAGCACAGACTCCAGTGATTTACTAAATGGTCAATAGTTTGGGTTGCATGACAACAATTTTCAGTGCCCTTCCCTTTAAATTGTTCTCTGCATCTTTATGACTCTATGCGTCTTTGGGGGTCTTTATGCATCTCTGTCAGCCTCTGTGTATCCCCGTGCATCTCTTTTTATGGGTTTCCTATTTTGGTGCATAGTTTGGATTACAGTGACTGCTGTACTTATGAACATTCGACTTACGAACTTTCAGAGATATGAACAAGACTGAGAGTCGTAAGTTCAACTACCACACAATGTATGGCGGTGGGGGCATCTACATCTGCAGAACATGAAGAACCAGTGGTGTCTACATCTACAGGAGATTATACAACTTTTAAAGCCATTCCCCATGTTTAGTGTACACGCTGTACAACATGTTTGGGCTAGGCTAGTTAAGTGGAACTAGCCTAGCCCAGAAAGAAATCTGAATTAATTGCGTTTCCTATGAACACCCACGTTTTAAATACCCATCTTTTTTTTCTGTTGTGGTGCGTGCCGGTGTGTGTGTGTGCATGCGTGTATGTGCGTGCATGCGTGAGCAGCTGTGTCAAGCCTGGAGGAGGGCGCCCGCCAGTGCGACCACTACCGCTCGTGGCGCGAGCTGCAGGAGCGAGTGCTGGCACCAGAGACGCGGCCACCCTGCGTGTGGGAGTTGCACCGTGATGCGCGCTCCTCCCTGCGAGCCGCGCTCACAGGTCGGCACACGTCACTGTGCACGAACGCGTCACTGCACACGCGCGCGCGTCAACCATGTGTCTTTTTACGTATGCTTCTCTGTGTGTGTGTGCACATCACCCGTGTGTACCGGTAGTGTAGCGGTTAGCGCGCGGCGCTACGAACCCGGCGACCCGAGTTCCGATTCCCGCTCACAGCCAACACCAGTGACAATTATCTGAACTAGTCCTGGGCCTCCTCTAGGTCGACTCAGCCTCAAATGAGTACCTGGTGCTGTGTGTGGTAAACATCGCCACTAGAGAGACGAAGGTGGCAGAGCGTGGTTTTGTCCACTTGCCCCAACAGTCTGTTAAGGATATACGGGGGATCTTTGTCTTTGTGCGTGTGCAGAGTGCGACTGGTTGCAAGGAGACGGTCACCCATCGTCCGACCTCTACTCGCAGGGCCCCACGTTCGCGAGTCTCCCCGGAGGCCGTGCTTCGGTACTAGTTTGGTGCCTCCACGCACACATGATGTGACCATGGCACTTGTGCCAGGAAGGAGGTCTTGGGACAGACCCAGGTACCATGGGTTGACTGAGATGACTGGCAGGTGCACCAGCTGTGCTCCCCCACTGTGCCAACTTGCGTTTTAGCTGCCCGGCGCTCCACACGTTGCGAGCGTCGCTCCTCTGCCCTCCGTTGCTGCTGAAGGGCGAATGCCTCCCAACTAACTACCCAGTAGCAGCGTCCTTCACGAGCCTCCTCCACAAAGGCTGATCTTGACACCACTGGTACCAGTCATCGGCAAGTCCACTCGGCTCCACATCCTCCCACACCGCTTCAGCTCCAGCTCTTCTCAAGCCCGTGCCACGCCCATTTAGCCCCCTTTATACGCCTGCTCGAGGAACTCACCGATGGTGGGACTGCTGCTGGTGTGTGGGGGGAGGGGGTTGATCGTCGTGTTTCCGTGTTCCGCGTTTGGCTTCAGACCGGGGAGGATGGTGAGGGGGCCCAGGAGCATGATGACGCCGCTCACGGGGGGCTCCTTCCCACTCCGGAGGAGCGGATGCGGCGCCTGGCGCAGAACTTCCCCCCGCACACGGTCGCCATCGACGTGTCCGGTATGCGCGCGCTTGTATGTGTGTGCGTGCCTAGGTGTGTGTGTCTAGGTGTGTGTGTGTCTAGGTGTGTGTGTGTGGTCCGGCAAAACAATCCCCTACCTCCTCGCGGTGCCAGACGGGAAACTCTGTCGTGGACAGTGCTGTGGGGGGAGGGCCAATTCCGATTGGCCCCTCCTCTCTTGGCGTCTGTGACCACCACAGTGGCTATAAACGGGGGCTCTGGACGGGTGCGAGGGGCTGGTAACCCCTCCACCTTCAACATTTTTACCACAAAACCACGAATAAAACATGTAACTAATAAGCGTGTGCCGGAGGCCCCGGGGGGACAGTCGTCTATGACGTCTCCTGGCCAAACCCCAATTGGCGGAGCCAGGAGATTGAATCTCTACCCTCGGGGCTCCTCCAGAAACAACAAAAAGCCACTTCGTGTGGCCACGTAGAATGTTCGAACGCTCATTGCGGAGGAGAGGCTGCCACTCCTCTGTCGGATGCTGGACCGGTACCGCCTGGATCTCTGTGGCATTCAGGAGGTCCGGTGGACCGGTTCTGGCTCCTGCCACCATGAGGGGTGGACAGTTCTCTATTCGGGGCAGCAGACCGCCAAACAACAGGGTGTGGGAGCGTGGCGGTGAGGTATGGGAAGCTGTAAGCCCCAGGCTACTTTGGGCTCGCCTTCCCATCAACCGGAGGCGAGGAGTGGTGGTCGTGGTTACTTATGCCCCCACCGAAGATGAACATCTGTGGAGGGATGCAGCCAATGAGTCAGATGCCTTCTATGACCTCCTGTCACAGGTGCTGGCTAAAGTGGCCCCTTGGGATAGAGTCATCTTGTTGGATGACTTCAATGCCCGAGTTGGTCATGATGCTGGTACCTGGTCTGGAGTGATTGGAGGGCATGGGCCAGATCAGCTCAATAACAGCGGTAGGAGACTGCTAGATTTTTGTGCAGCCCATGGGCTTGTAATTACCAACACGCTGTTCCGGCATCGGCGCATCCACACAACATCATGGATGCATGCCGGGTCCAAGCAAGAACATCTGCTGGACGACATAGTGACGGACCAGCGGATGCGAGCCCATGTCCTTGACACCAGGACCTACCGTGGAGCTGATCTGCCCTCTGACCATCGACTAGTCATATGTAAGATGCGCCTTCCATTCTTCCACTCCGGTGGTGGGTGTACACCCAGGACCCCATTTCCACCTAAAGTGGCCTGGTCTCAGTTATCTGATGACAGTTGCAAGCGAGAATTTCATCATAGCTTGCGGCTGGGGTTGGCATCGTCCCCCACTCCTCCTGATGTCGAGGGTAAATGGGCGAGGTTTAGGGCTATGCCTCATGCAGCTGCAATGCCTGCTTTGGGTACGCGGTCCAGACCTCCCCAGAGACCCTGGCTGACAGAGGAGGTGTTCAGGATAGTTGAGAAAAAGCGACAGGCCCACTGTCATCGGCTACAGAATCCCACGTCAGAGAATGAGGAGGCTTACCGCAGCCTTCGCTCGGAGGTTCGGAGAGCCGTGAGGTGCTGCAAGGATGGGTGGTGGTCGCGGGTTGCTGAGGAGATGGAGACTGCCTCAGTGGCCCGCGATCACAAATCTCTATTTAACTCCATCAAAAAAGTAACCTGCAGCGCCACACCTATTACCATCATTAGGGGAAAAAACGGTGATCCAATCTCCGACCCCCAGGAACAGGTTTGCAGATTTGCTGAGCATTTCTGTGAGGTCCTGGGGGAGGGGAAATCCCTCCGCCAGGAAAAGATCGTGGCACAAAGTGGGGATGACCCTGCTGAGGCTGCGGTGCCTCATATATTGGAGGAAGTCACCCCTGTGAGTGGCTGGCTGAGGTGCCATCTGTTGAGGAAGTACTGAAGGCGATCCGGAGTCTGAGACCAGGAAAGGCACCGGGCAGAGATGATCTCCCAAGCGAAATGCTGAGGGAGGGTGGCGTTTGTGCACAGACTTCCCTATATGACATCATAACAACAGTCTGGACCACTGGACGGGTTCCGCAGGATTGGAAGGATGCCCTGGTGGTTCCCCTCTTTAAGAAGGGGGACCGCACAGACACTAACAACTACAGGGGCATCTCACTCCTCAGTGTGCCGGGAAAGGTCCTGGCAAGGATTATTCAACATCGCCTTGCCAGGCACGCTGAGGAGAGGCTTGCGGAGCCCCAATACGGTTTCAGGAAAGGGCGGTCCTGCACAGATGCCATATTTTCTGTCCGTCTGCTACAGCAGAGGTGTAGGGAATTCCAGCAAGACCTACATCTCTGCTTTATTGACCTGGTCAAGGCCTATGATACCATCAGTCGACCTGGGCTCTGGGTTGTTCTTCGTGCTTTTGGAGTCCCTGACCCCCTGCTCATGATCATTAAGGACCTTCATGATTTCGATTTAAAGCTTTCGTGACTGCAAGGATTCATCTTCTTTGGTTCTTTCGGTAAAGTCACGTAGAATGAGAATAAAATAATAAAATAAAACAATAAAATTATCACGACGTTTCGGCCACAACACAAGTGGCCTTCTTCAGGTGAAAGGAACAAACTTGTCGGGACGACAGAGCTACATTGTAGCTCCTGACATTGTAGCTCTGTCGTCCCGACAGGTTTGTTCCTTTTACCTGAAGAAGGCCACTTGTGTTGTGGCCGAAACGTCGTGAGAATTTTATTGTTTTATTTTATGATTTTATTCTCATTCTACATGACTTTACCGAAAGAACCAAAGAAGACCTTCATGATGGTAAGCGGGCCCGGGTAAAACTACGTGGCCGGGAGTCCGAGCCATTCCCTGTACACCTTGGGGTGCGATAGGGATGTCCTCTAGCTCCCACATTATTTAACATCTATTTTGACCACGTAGTTCGTGAAGCCTTCAATAGCTGTACCGGTGGAATCTCCATTTGGTACAAATATAATGGGAGGCTGATCGATGCCCGTGTGCGGTCAAGGGATGGCTCCCTATTGGTCAACCACGTTATGTATGCCGATGATTTGGTCATAGCTGCTCATTCAGAGGAGGAGTTGAAGACGCTGCTGCTGAGACTGGAGCGTGCCACTAAGAGATGGGGCCTTACCATCAGCCCCACCAAAACTAAGCACCTGCCTGGGTATTTTGTACCATCGGACACTCCACCCCACAACTCCCAATCGGTGATGGGGCAGTTGTGGAGAGAGTGGAGAGTTTCCCATACCTGGGCAGTGTGCTTATGACCGGCTCCAGTTTAACAGCAGAGGTCTCACTCCGAATCAGTCGAGCGGCAATATCTTTTCATCGGTTGCGTAACGCTGTGTGGAAGCTACCTGGTCTGTCACTCCGCACTAAGCTTCAGGTCTTCTCGGCCACGGTCATTCCCTCCCTTCTCTACGCTTGCGAAACGTGGACCCCCCTAATGGAACATCTTCGGCAGTTAGAAACATTTAGGCTAGCCTGCCTACGATCGATCCTGGGTTTAACCAGGCTGGATTGTGTGAGGAGCTCACAAGTCCTTGAAAGATCTGGGCAAGGTCCCATCGGTAAGCTCCTCCGGCAGGCAAGGCTGCGTTGACTGGGTCATGTAGCCCGCATGCCCAGCCACCGAATGCCGAAACAGCTTTTGTTCAGCCGGATCGAGGGGGCTAAATGGGCGCAGCACGGGCTAGAGAATAGTTGGAGTGATGTGGTACAGGAGGACGTGGAGCTGAGTGGACTTGCCGATGACTGGTACCAGCGGTGTCAAGATCGGCCTCTGTGGAGGAGGCTCGTGAAGGACGCTACGGGGCAGTTGGAGGCAGTCGCCCTCCAACAACAACGGAGGGCGGAGGAGCGACGCTCACAACAACGAGCGGAGCGCCGGGTGGCTAAAGCACAGCAGGTTGGCACAGTAGGGGGCACAGGTGGTGCATCAGCCAGTCATCTCAGTCATCTTAGTCAGTCAACCCGTGGCACTTGGGTCTGCCCCGTGACCTCCTGCCAGCAGGCGTTCGACACTTCACGTGGCCTAAAGGTGCACATGGCCTGGCACAAGCGTCGTGGTGACGTCACCGCCACTTAGTGGCGAATGGCGGTTGTTGTTGTTGTGTCTAGGTGTGTGTGTGTGTGAACCGGTCCTGGGTCTCCCCTAGGTCGACTCAGCCTCAAATGAGTACCTGGTGCGGTGTGTAAACATCGCCACTGGGGAGACAAAGGCGGTCGGCCATGGTGCTGGCCACCCACCCGCTCGTGTGCCGTGCCATCCTTTATAGGTGCTACTCGCTAACAGCACTTGCCCCAGCAGTCTGTAAGGCTATATGGAGGATCTTCGTCTCTTGTGCGTGTGTGCGTACTGCACAGTTGTGAGCAGACTTAATCAAATCAGTCCAGAAACACCCCGCACGTTCCTTACGAATTACACTGCGTCAGTGCTATACTGGAGATCTTCGTCTTTATAGTGATTTATGTGACTTGATGGTGGTAAAGTATGGTTGATGTGGCTCTTGGTGGTGCCGTTGGTGAGGTGTGGTTGTAATCGGTGTGGCTGTTTGTGGTGTTTGCGGAGTAGGCCTTGGGTTTGACCGCCAGGCCACGGTGCGCCGCTCATACCTGGGTGGGGATGGGACCCTGAAACGACGGCACAACAAAGCCGGCGCCTCCTCCTCTTCGTCGTCTGCGGTGGCGGTGATGTCCTCACGCCGGAGGACCATCTCTGGCTTCCCGGAGAGCCTGCAGCAAGACTTGGGTAACAACACAAAGACATGTTCCCCCCCTCTTTTCTGTGTAACCCACACGGGCGGTTAGGGCAAGTGCCGTTAGCGAACAACGACCAAGGTTGGCACGGAGCACCTACGAGGGGTTGAGGTGTGGGCCAGCAACCCACCTGGCCGTCTTTGTCTCTCCAGTGCTCAAATATTTACACCGCAAAGGGTATTGCATTTAAATCTGAATTGTTTTAGGGGAGGCCCTGGCCTGTTTCAGGAATTCGTTGATGTCGGCCGTGGGCAGGGATCGCACCTCGCCTTGCCGGGTTAGTAGCGCAGAGTGCTAACCACTGAGCCCCACCGCTCCCCACAGACACACACCCATGCCGGCATGTGAATGCTCATATGTACAAAGACAAAGATCCTCTGTATAGCCTTTACAGACTTATGAGGCAAGCGCTGTTGGTGTAGCATCAATGAAAGCCGGCACACCACATACCCCGGCCCCTTTATCTCCACCAGGCAACCTAGGGGAGACCCAGGACCAGTTGTATCTTCTCCCCGTGGTCACGTGGATTTTTTCTCCGGGTCCTCCAGTTTTTCCCTCCACATTTAGAATCAACATCACGCATTAGAGTATTTGGCTGCTATACATTTCCACGTGATGAGCCACTTCGTTGAGATATTATTTGTGATGGCCAGGTCACTTCTGAAAAAGAGTTTTAAATAGTTTTCTGTGAGGGACGAGGACTCGGAGGAGACATTTCTTCTCCGTTCCTAAAAGTCACATCCCCCGTGTCTCCCGCAGCCTCCGTGGGGAGCGAGCTGCGCTCCCAGCGCGGCCGCTCGCTCTACTTGCACAGCGCGGCCGACGTGGCAGCTGGAGGCAGCGGGGGCGGCGGAAAGCGAGACTCGCAGTGTCAGACGGACGGCGCCTGTGCGCGTGGTGGCGCCCTCCATGCGCAGGATCCGTGCCCAGCGGGGCCATGGCATCGCCGCGCTCATGTGCCGCCCACCCGGTGCGGGGCCCGGTGACGACGGCGACGCCGATTCCCTAGCCTACAAAAGCCTGCCTCGCCTGCCCTGGTGCCCACCTGGGCACGACAAGGGCGCACTGCGGAGGGACGCGGAGGCCTCTCACCTGGCCGCGTCGATGCCCGGGCTACACGACCCCCGCAACGGGCGAGGCTCCCCACGGGGAGCGACATCTCCGCGACCGCCTCCGTGCAACCGCTCGGGCTGCTCGGCGGATGGCGGGGAGGCTGCGCCGAGGCAGAGCAACGGCCAGTGGGCCGCCGCGACGGCCTCCCGTCCCTCGGTCGGAGGAGATGGCGCCGAGCAAGTCGCCGTCGCTGCCCGTGGGAGTCATCGCGCCGCAGGTGGCTGGGCGGCCTGGGCCAAACCACCACGCAAACCTCCGCACCGGGTCGCCGGTGTGTCGGCACGGCGGGGAGATCCCAGACACGGCGGCGAAGGACGATGACGGCGGCGACGGCGACGGCGACCGCCTGTCGTGGAGCGAGAGCGGCGCCTCTGTACAGAGCTTCGAGATGTTCGAGCCGAGCAACTCGGAAACGTCCGACACCAATGGCTCCGAGTCGACGGTCACCTCCTCCGGCCGCTCGGGATCGGCGCGAGGGTACCGCCCGTCAGCGCAGGCGCCCTGGCTGGCCGCGGCGAAGTGCCCGGACCGCCTGAGCCCGGCACCCGGCCAACACTGGATCTCATGTGGCGGATCCTCGGCCCACAGTCTTTACGGGAGCGCCGGGGGCTCCTCGACGGGCACCGAGTGCGGCTCCATGTACTCGGTGGATGCGGACGGGTTCTACACGTCCATGCACGTGGACTGTGGCCTCTCCAGGGCAGGCGCTAGCGGCGCTTCGGCCACCCTCGCGACGCACCGGGAGGAGGCGGCGGTTGTCAGAGGGGAGCGGCGACAGCGCCGTGCTCCGCGCGGTGTCGCTCCGCAGGCCGAGGACGAAGCCTCCGCCACCGCGGAGGACCGACTCGCTCACCAGAAACTTCTCGCTCCGGCAGCACGAGGATGCGGCGGTGTCGCCAGAGCCGCTGCCCCCGCCGCCTGACGACGACCTCCTGGCGGATGGTGGCGAAGGCTATGTCTCGCGCGACTGGTTCCCCCGCAGTCCCCCAGCAGTTCCGCGCGCTGGCGACGCGGCTCCCCCGCGGGGCCGCCGGAGCCCATGCGGCAGAGCGGCGACGTCACCTGCCGTGGGCGACTTCGAGCGGGTCCCGCCGCCCCTCCTCTACTCACTGTGCCCTCTGACCCCGACGCCGGGCGATGACGGCTACTCGCGCTTCGAGTACGCGGAGAGCTGGCGCGGCAGGGGCTCCGTCGCGGGAAGCGAGAAGTCGGCCACCTCGAACTCCGGCGGAAGTGCCGCGACGTCGCGTGCCGACACGCCGTGCGGCTTCCCCGCGCAGCCCTCCGGCGACACTCCGGGGCTCAGAGAGGGCTGCGCCTCTCCCTCCCGCGCTGCCCCGGCCCCGGGTCACAGGCCTAGGCCTCCCGCGGTGCCGCAGCGCCGGTCGTCGCTGATGACGGCGCCGGGTGACGCAAACGCAGAGGAGGAGGGGCCGCCCTCGCCGACATCCTTCCCACCCCCTCCGCTTGAACTCCTCGCTCCACCGCCGCAGTACCGGTCCTCCCCCCCCCTCGAGTCTTCCTTCGCTGCTCTTCCTCCTCCTCCGCTGCCCTCTCCGCCGTGGTCTCCCGCCTCCTGGGCGGAGGGACATGCGCACCCTCAGGACGCCGAAGGGAACCGGATGCGGGACTGCAGCGCGACACCGCCGGCACTGCAAGCCTGCAGCACGCCGTCTGTGGAGACGCTGCGGGCGACGGCCGCGGCGAGTGAGCCGGGGATGGAGGCCGGAGGCACGCGCAACGGCGAGACTACGCCGCCGAAGAAGACGAAACCTCCGGTCCTGCCCAAGCCGCCGTCGCCGCGGAGATACGGCCGCCCCTTCGGTCTGACCGCCGGGGGGCTCCCGGAGGGAGGCAGCCCCCCCAAGGACGAGGCGGCACGGGCGTCACGACAGGAGCTGTGCGGCGGAGAGGCTCCGCTCGGAGCACCCAAGCCCGGAGGTACTTGCCGCCCGGTGGAGAGCGCAGCGAGGAGACACTCCGCGGCACACGACGCGGCTTGTGCGACGCAGGAAAGTGCCGAGCCTTCTGCCAAGAACGACGGCGGATTCTCTGCGCTGGTGGACAGAGACTCTGTGATCCCGGCGAAACATTCCCAATATCAGTTCTCCCACATCACTTGCAGCGCGATCCGGTCCAGCAAGTCCGAAATCCATTCCAGTGAAATGCAGTCCAGAACATCTGAAATCCATTCCAATGATCTTAGAGCTGACACGCCTGAGTCCCATTCCGGTGAAAGCAATTCCAGCGCCTCTGACATCCATTCCCCTGACCTCCGGTCTTGCATGCCTGACATTCAATTAAGTGGAATTCAGTCCAGTAAACCTGACATCCAGCCCAGCAAACCTGACATCCAGTCTAGCAAACCTGACATCCAGCCCAGCAAACCTGACATCCAGCCCATAAAGCCTGACATCCAGCCCAGCAAACCTGACATCCAGCCCATAAAGCCTGACATCCAGCCCATAAAGCCTGACATCCAGCCCAGCAAACCTGACATCCAGCCCAGCAAACCTGACATCCAGCCCAGCAAATCTGACATCCCATTCTAGCAAACCTGACATCCAGTCTAGCAAACCTGACATCCAGTCAGCAAACCTGACATCCAGTCCAGCAAACCTGACATCCAGCCCAGCAAACCTGACATCCAGCCCAGCAAACCTGACATCCAGCCCAGCAAACCTGACATCCAGTCCAGCAAATCTGACATCCAGTCCAGCAAATCTGACATCCAGTCTAGCAAACCTGACATCCAGTCTAGCAAACCTGACATCCAGTCCAGCAAACCTGACATCCAGTCTAGCAAACCTGACATCCAGCCCAGCAAACTGACATCCAGTCCAGCAAACCTGACATCCAGCCCAGCAAACCTGAAATCCAGTCTAGTAAACCTGACATTCAGCCCAGCAAACCTGACATCCAGTCCAGCAAACTTGAAATCCAGCCCAGAGTGCTTCCTGACCAGGCCAGCAGCCTCCCAGCAGGGAGGAAACCCCCTCCCCCCGTGGCCAAGAAGCCCACGGTGTCATCTCTCAGGCTCGTTTCATCGTCCGGCGTGCCGTCATGCTCTCCTTCCTCCTCGTGGCCCTCGTCACAGGCGTCGCCACTGCCAATGCCGGAGGCGTCCCCTGCAGAGCGGGCACCGGGCCGTTCCCCGGCCTTGACCGCCGATGGGCGGTGCTCGGAGCCGGCCGGTATGGCCCTGGGATTTGCTGGGGACTCCGCCGCCATCGCCTGCACGCCGCTCCACGTCCGCGGAATTCGCCGCGAGTGCCGGACAATCGCCGGGCGCAGCCTGTGCGGATGTGGGGCGCGGCGCGGGAGAGGAGGAGGAGCGGGAGGTGGTCTCGGTGGTCCTGGTAGACCCAGCGGGAGGAGGTGGAAGAGGGTCTGATGCAACAGACTCGGCGCTGCGCCGCTGCTGTCCTGGTACGGAGGCAAGGACGGGAGATGAGGAGCGGCTGTCGCAATTGCAGGGTAAGGGCGTCCACACGCGTGGCACGCTGGCAACGCGGCTTTCATTCGCCCTCCCGTGTCTCCTCTCGTCCTCCTGTGTCTCCTCTCGTCCTCCCGTGTCTCCTCTCGTCGTCCCGTGTCTCCTCTCGTCGTCCCGTGTCTGCGCTCGTAGTCCCGTGTCTCCGCTCGTCCTCCCGTGTCTCCTCTCGTCCTCCCGTGTCTCCTCTCGTCGTCCCGTGTCTGCGCTCGTCCTCCCGTGTCTCCGCTCGTCCTCCCGTGTCTCCGCTCGTCTTCCCGTGTTTCCGCATGTCCCACTGCGTCTCAACTTATCTCACCCCCCTGTCCTGCGTCGTGCCATCTTTACTCCGACGCCCTGTTGTCCGAAGGCTCGAGCCGCGTCAACAAAACTCGCATCTCCGTCCGTCCGTATGCTGCGTCACGTCAGACGCACGCACCGCATGTGCAACCATACCGCCAACCCGGCCAGGATTGCCGCGGGCGTTACCCCGCAAGCGTTTCTCGATATGGCCCATCCGAGTCGTTTTTTGACGCGCGGTGCGAACTCGCCACGCAAATCTCTCGTGCACTACAGTGGTGGCGGGTGACGGCGGAGGAGGCGGTGGGCGAGGCCTCCGAGGACGTGTCACCGACAACGACGCGGAGGCCGACGAGCGGTGGGACGGCGCGGAGCAGAGTGCCGGGGATGCGGGAGCCCTGGCCCACACCCCGAGCCACACACGCACCACGGAGGACCTCTTCGCAGCCATCCACAGGTGAGGCCGTGCACGTGTGTGTGTGCATGCATGTGCCCGCGTTTGCGTATGTGCATGTGCGTGTCACGGGGAGAAGCGCAGGTGGCATGCAAATGTAGTAATTTGATGGCCTCGGGGCCCAATATCATGGTTCGCTGCATTGGCGGCGCCGCCGCCGTCTCTCCCCGCAGGTCCAAGCGCATCCATCTGGGCCGCCACAATTCGGATGACACTTTCCTGCGACACCGGTCCATGTCGCCACCCGTGCGTTCGCCGGGGAACCCATCACCCGGCGGGGCCCCCGGGGGGACGCGAGGCCCCCCGGCACGCCGTCCAGGTCGCAAGCAGAGCACCAGCAGCGACGACTTCAAGGCGCTGCTGCTTCGCAAGGGCGCGCGCTCCGACGTCGGCACACGCATGTCGGCCGTGGAGATGCTGAGGTCGGCGCGTTCGTCGAACGCGCCCGCTGGGGCCGCGGCGCCAGACCGGCCGGAGGACGAGGCGGAGTTCGCGGAGGCCGACGCTCCGGTGCGCGATAGGAGCCGGCGCTTCGTCAGTGAGGGCTTCTCCCCGCGTGGTGGCGGCGGGGGATTTGGCGGCTCGCCGGGCACGCCGCCACCACGCCTCGGCCGATCCAACACCCCGCCGAGCGCCGGCTCCAGGCGCTACAACAACCGCAGCCGACTGCACAGCACTCCCATGCAGGCGATTCGCGAGGGCGAGGGCGAGGCCGGTGGGGACGCGGTGCCCTCGTAGAAACCCGCCCCGTCGACGCCCGCTAGGTTGCCGGATCGTGGCTCCCCCCGCGTCCTCGCATGGCCTGGGCCCGGCTCCCGCGGGGAGAGCGGTGGTGTTCGCTCGGCTGTAGCCGTGCGCGGTAATGGCATGCGTGGTGACGCCGTCACGGTAACGGCGTGCGCGTTTTTAACGGTAACTTATTGTCTTACGGCGGTGCGTAGACGAACGAACGGGCGGGCGAGTGCATGGTGTATAGAGCGGGCTGGGCGGGGGGCGGGGCCCCGCGGGGCGTCCTGCACCATCACGGCCTCTGCCCGCAATGGGAGGCGCCCTGGTGGAGGAGGTGGCGTCGAAACGAACGCTGTCTCGCCTCTTGCCCCCTTTCGCGACGACGTGGGGAGAACCCCCTCGCCGCTTCCTCCTCTCTGCTCCGGGTTGGCAGGGGGTGCTGTTGGGGCGGGTAGAGAAACGGGTCCCGACACTCCGTCTGGTCGCTGGTAGACTGGAGGAGTAGGTGGCCCGTGATTCGTAGCCACGGCCACAGTGAGAGGTGGAATACTGGATGTGGTGTGCCGGTTGTGGAAAGATTTTTTCAGTGTCGCCAACCGACCTGGACAGACATGACTAAAATGAATTCCTGGACGGTGCGCGAGCAGAATTGCACTGCATGCGTTTGTGTGTTTTTTAATCGCGATGGCGAAGATGATGATGATGTAGAATTTGTAACGTTCGCTGTTCGTTTACTGTCCGAGAGACGGAGAGAATGAGGATGATGCAGAGGCACGGAGAATCACAGACAAGTGGGGGAAAGTATATTCTGGTTCTTTCGAAAGAACCAAGAATATGAATCCCTGCAGTCACGAAAGCTTTTAAATCAAAATTTAAATGAGGGAAGGTAGCCAGAAATGGCACCAGCAATTTCCGAAGCTCTGTGGTCCTATGTCGAGATGTTCAAACAACTCCGTTAATAATAATAATGAGGTTTTTTTTTATAATTGTCAGGAAACCAGAGCACCTGGAGAACACCCACACGCCCGAGTGTGGATAACACAGATAGCAATTAACCCACTTGCTGCACTGCCATACCCCTGGCCAGCCAGGAGAAGGTGACCTCGACATGAAAGCACGTGTGATCCACCAACCCCCGCCGCCTCCACAGCGCTGGCTTGCAGCCGTGTGCAGCGTAGCGAGCAGCTGACTGTGGGGGCGCTTCCCAGTGTGGACCACCGTGGCGCCATGTGGTTTCAGAGACAGGAGCAGGGGGTGGGGTCCCCCCCTGTGTGTGGGGAGGCGGGGGATGGTGAAGTGGGGAGATATTTGAGATTGAATTCAAAATAAACTGTTTTCTCTGCCGGGCTGCAGTCTTCATGAGCTTTCTCTTTGTTCTTCACGCACGCCTGGTCTCTGCCCACGTGAATCGTTGGAATTCAGGGCACTGCAGCGTCGAAACCGGGCAGGGGGCACCAACGGTGGGCAAGATGTTAACCTACCTCGCCTGGTATACAGGAGGTCGTTGGGTTTGATGTCGACCCTCACGCCTGCTGCTGTATATAGAGAGTTTGCATGTTTTCTTTCTCTATCTCCCGTGGTCGCATTGATTTTTCACTGGGTCCTCCAGTGTTTCCCCTCCACATTTATAATCAACAACAAACGTGTTTTGGCTGCTATAAATGTCCACACAATAACCCACTTCGTTCAGAGATTTGTGATAACCATGTCGCTTCAGAAAAAGAGCGACAGTATATTGCTCAGTGGGCCTTGCCTTGTAAAATAAAACATAATATATGTAGAATGGCGCGATACTAAATTAGCTAAATACAATACGTGAATCCGCCCCATAATGTAAAATATATATGGTCTCCGATTCACGTGTTGGTGAGTGCTCTACCACCACCAGTGTCACAAGTTCCGTGGTGCTGACATTTACAGCTTGCACAGGCTCAAGGACACGCAGCTCTGTCCTTCTCTGCAGGACCATCTGGGAGAACCTCAGTGGGCCTTACCTAGTAAAATAAAATATTTGTAGGTTTTTTTTTATTCCGTAGGGTTGTGGTTCTGTTTTCTCCGCTCACGCCGTGGCGGCGCAAGCGGCAGAGCAAGCAGCTCCGCGAATTGGAAGGTTTTGCAAGGTCAAATCGTGGTCGATGGTGGATCCGAACCGTCGGTAGAAATTCCACATCGAAGATGGAAGTTAAATCGCGTCCCACGGGTAGAGCGCATTGGTCTGGCAGTAGGGGGTGGGGGTGGGGGGCGATGCTGCGCTATTCTGAACCCTATCTGGTTAGTATAGCGGTAGAGCAAGTGGGCGAATCCAGAGGTTGAGAGTTCAAATCCTGGTTTGGGGAATGGGGTGGGGGGGAGGTTGACTCGGCCCATCATCTCTCCCTCCGGGATCAATAAAAGAAGTACCACTTTGTATGGGAGCAGATTTGGAGTGGTTGTCCAATGGATAGACTCACCCCTGCTGCCATAGGACCGTGTGAATTTCCAGTGGTGGAAATTTCCAGTGGTGGCAATTCACACTGTCAAACGTGGGACGAACACCAATGGTTCATTGCACCTGTGGGCTCTTAACTTGTTTTGATCGTCCTGGGGAGAGCGTATCTGGGTGGGGGTTTTAGTTGATCCATTTACAGGTCGAGGAAGCTCTACAGGTTGACCAATTTCGAGTATTTTATCTCTCCTCTTCCACCCTTGCCAGAAGCCATGGGAGATGTGGGAGTACCCACGCTTTACCCCACCACACGCGGCCTGCCTTTCGACTTAACTGGTGTAACTGTATCCATTTTTACTGCTTGGGGTGGGTGGGGGAGGTGGGGGGAGATGGATATATTTAAGAAATTAACGCCATTATTTCAACTCCTGCGTCAGGAGATGGAACCGAACCGGCGATCCTCTGGATTGTAAGTCCGCTGTTGCTGCTCACCATGATTACCACTCTGGCAGCATTGCTCGTATGCATTAGCGCAGTGGTTCTCAAACTCGGGTGCGGGAGTCCCGTTCTGAGGGGTGCAAGAGGTTGCCAGTGCTTAGAAAGTAAATATCGAAACAAGCTAAGCTACAACAACTTTTGTTTCATCAAACCTATGAATTTATTAACGTGCTTTATTTTTTACTATTGAGAACCCAAGGAGCGCAAGTCTGCAGTAAAGGTTAAGAACCACTGCTGGAGTGAGACGATGATGATGATGAAGTCACGGGCCAGCTGCCGTGGGGGTTCCGTGCCCTGCACCCACTGCCCCCAGCTCCTCCCGCGGGCTCCGTAGTGACTCTCCCCGACTGTCCCCGCCCCCTCAAAGCGACCTTCGCAGTCTCAGCTGCTGCTGCTGCTCGACATCACTGAGGGCACGTAGCGGGCTCCAAGGTGAGATGCGTGTCGGTGACCGTCTCTACACACGTGTCTTAGTGACTGTACACGCGTCTGAGTAACTGCGAGAGACAAGCGTGTAGACACGATCAGAGTGACTGAGTGACCGTGTCTACACGTGTGTCTGAGTGACTGAGTGACCGTGTCTACACGTGTGTCTGTGAGTGACTGAGTGACCGTGTCTACACGTGTGTCTGTGAGTGACTGAGTGACCGTGTCTGTGAGTGACTGAGTGACCGTGTCTACACGTGTGTCTGTGAGTAACTAAGTAACCGTGTCTAAACGTGTGTCTGAGTGATTGAGTGACCGTGTCTACACGTGTGTCTGTGAGTGACTGAGTGACCGTGTCTACACGAGTGTCTGTGAGTGGACTGAGTGACCGTGTCTACACGTGTGTCTGAGTGACTGAGTGACCGTGTCTACACGTGTGTCTGCGTGACTGACCGTGTCTACACGTGTGTTTGGGTGACTGAGTAACCGTGTCTACACGTGTCTGTGAGTGACTAAGTGACCGTGTCTACACGTGTGTCTGAGTGACTAAGTGACCGTGTCTACACGTGTGTCTGAGTGACTGAGTGACCGTGTCTACACGTGTGTCTGAGTGACTGAATGACCGTGTCTACACGTGTGTCTGGGTGACTGAGTAACCGTGTCTACACGTGTCTGTGAGTGACTAAGTGACCGTGTCTACACGTGTGTCTGAGTGAGTGGACTGAGTGACCGTGTCTACACGTGTGTCTGAGTGACTGAGTGACCGTGTCTACACGTGTGTCTGGGTGACTGAGTAACCGTGTCACGTGTCTGTGAGTGACTAAGTGACCGTGTCTACACGTGTGTCTGAGTGAGTGACTGAGTGACCGTGTCTACACGTGTGTCTGAGTGACTGAGTGACCGTGTCTACACGTGTGTCTGAGTGACTGAGTGACCGTGTCTACACGTGTGTCTGTGAGTGACTGAGTGACCGTGTCTACACATGTGTCTGTGAGTGACTGAGTGACCGTGTCTACACGTGTGTCTGTGAGTGACTGAGTGACCGTGTCTACACGGGTGTCTGAGTGACTGACCGTGTCTACACGTGTGTCTGTGAGTGACTGAGTGACCGTGTCTACACGTGTGTCTGAGTGACTGAGTGACCGTGTCTACACGTGTGTCTGTGAGTGACTGAGTGACCGTGTCTACACGTGTGTCTGTGAGTGACTGAGTGACCGTGTCTACACGTGTGTCTGTGAGTGACTGAGTGACCGTGTCTACACATGTGTCTGTGAGTGACTGAGTGACCGTGTCTACACGTGTGTCTGTGAGTGAGTGACCGTGTCTACACGGGTGTCTGAGTGACTGAGTGACCGTGTCTACACGTGTGTCTGTGAGTGACTGAGTGACCGTGTCTACACGTGTGTCTGTGAGTGACTGAGTGACCATGTCTACACGTGTGTCTGTGAGTGACTGAGTGACCGTGTCTACACGTGTGTCTGTGAGTGACTGAGTGACCGTGTCTACACGTGTGTCTGTGAGTGACTGAGTGACCGTGTCTACACGTGTGTCTGTGAGTGACTGAGTGACCGTGTCTACACGTGTGTCTGTGAGTGACTGAGTGACCATGTCTACACGTGTGTCTGTGAGTGACTGAGTGACCGTGTCTACACGTGTGTCTGTGAGTGACTGAGTGACCGTGTCTACACGTGTGTCTGTGAGTGACTGAGTGACCGTGTCTACACGTGTGTCTGTGAGTGACTGAGTGACCGTGTCTACACGTGTGTCTGGGTGACTGAGTAACCGTGTCCACGTGTCTGTGAGTGACTAAGTGACCGTGTCTACACGTGTGTCTGAGTGAGTGACTGAGAGACCGTGTCTACACGTGTGTCTGAGTGACTGAGTGACCGTGTCTACACGTGTGTCTGAGTGACTGAGTGACCGTGTCTACACGTGTGTCTGTGAGTGAGTGAGTGACCGTGTCTACACGTGTGTCTGTGAGTGACTGAGTGACCGTGTCTACACATGTCTGTGAGTGACTGAGTGACCGTGTCTACACGTGTCTGTGAGTGACTGAGTGACCGTGTCTACACGGGTGTCTGAGTGACTGAGTGACCGTGTCTACACGTGTGTCTGAGTGACTGAGTGACCGTGTCTACACGTGTGTCTGTGAGTGACTGAGTGACCGTGTCTACACGTGTGTCTGTGAGTGACTGAGTGACCGTGTCTACACGTGTGTCTGTGAGTGACTGAGTGACCGTGTCTACACGTGTGTCTGTGAGTAACTAAGTAACCGTGTCTACACGTGTGTCTGAGTGATTGAGTGACCGTGTCTACACGTGTGTCTGTGAGTGACTGAGTGACCGTGTCTACACGAGTGTCTGTGAGTGACTGAGTGACCGTGTCTACACGTGTGTCTGTGAGTGACTGAGTGACCGTGTCTACACGTGTGTCTGCGTGACTGACCGTGTCTACACGTGTGTCTGAGTGACTAAGTGACCGTGTCTACACGTGTGTCTGAGTGACTGAGTGACCGTGTCTACACGTGTGTCTGAGTCACTGAATGACCGTGTCTACACGTGTGTCTGGGTGACTGAGTAACCGTGTCTACACGTGTCTGTGAGTGACTAAGTGACCGTGTCTACACGTGTGTCTGAGTGAGTGACTGAGTGACCGTGTCTACACGTGTGTCTGAGTGACTGAGTGACCGTGTCTACACGTGTGTCTGGGTGACTGAGTAACCGTGTCCACGTGTCTGTGAGTGACTAAGTGACCGTGTCTACACGTGTGTCTGAGTGAGTGACTGAGTGACCGTGTCTACACGTGTGTCTGAGTGACTGAGTGACCGTGTCTACACGTGTGTCTGAGTGACTGAGTGACCGTGTCTACACTGTGGTCTGTGAGTGACTGAGTGACCGTGTCTACACATGTGTCTGTGAGTGACTGAGTGACCGTGTCTACACGTGTGTCTGTGAGTGACTGAGTGACCGTGTCTACACGGGTGTCTGAGTGACTGACCGTGTCTACACGTGTGTCTGTGAGTGACTGAGTGACCGTGTCTACACGTGTGTCTGAGTGACTGAGTGACCGTGTCTACACGTGTGTCTGTGAGTGACTGAGTGACCGTGTCTACACGTGTGTCTGTGAGTGACTGAGTGACCGTGTCTACACGTGTGTCTGTGAGTGACTGAGTGACCGTGTCTACACATGTGTCTGTGAGTGACTGAGTGACCGTGTCTACACGTGTGTCTGTGAGTGACTGAGTGACCGTGTCTACACATGTGTCTGTGAGTGACTGAGTGACCGTGTCTACACATGTGTCTGTGAGTGACTGAGTGACCGTGTCTACACGGGTGTCTGAGGTGACTGAGTGACCGTGTCTACACGTGTGTCTGTGAGTGACTGAGTGACCGTGTCTACACGTGTGTCTGTGAGTGACTGAGTGACCGTGTCTACACGTGTGTCTGTGAGTGACTGAGTGACCGTGTCTACACGTGTGTCTGTGAGTGACTGAGTGACCGTTTCTACACGTGTGTCTGTGAGTGACTGAGTGACCGTGTCTACACGTGTGTCTGTGAGTGACTGAGTGACCGTGTCTACACGTGTGTCTGTGAGTGACTGAGTGACCGTGTCTACACATGTGTCTGTGAGTGACTGAGTGACCGTGTCTACACGTGTGTCTGTGAGTGACTGAGTGACCGTGTCTACACGGGTGTCTGAGTGACTGAGTGACCGTGTCTACACGTGTGTCTGTGAGTGACTGAGTGACCGTGTCTACACGTGTGTCTGAGTGACTGAGTGACCGTGTCTACAGGTGTGTCTGTGAGTGACTGAGTGACCGTGTCTACACGTGTGTCTGTGAGTGACTGAGTGACCATGTCTACACGTGTGTCTGTGAGTGACTGAGTGACCGTGTCTACACGTGTGTCTGTGAGTGACTGAGTGACCGTGTCTACACGTGTGTCTGTGAGTGACTGAGTGACCGTGTCTACACGTGTGTTTGTGAGTGACTGAGTGACCGTGTCTACACGTCTCTGAGTGACTGCGAGCGAGCAGTTGCAGGGCTGCGCCTTCGCCTCTCAACATTTGTGTGTACAGTGCCTTGTGTACAGTGCCTTGTGTATGTCCAAGCGAGCCACGCCGAGTCATATAACTCGTTTTCTAAAGGGCCTCCTGCCGCTGCAATTGGGTTTTTTTTATTTGTCATGCTGTTATAGTTTACATCAAAGTACACAATGTTGAATGGTTTGTTATTCACGTAGGAGGATGATAAGCCTTGCGCGAGGGGGCAACACTCTATTCCCATCGTAGAGATGTAATCAAGGGATGTGCGATGAGTCTACACACTTTGCGTTACCGCCGTCTGCCGGCGAACCATGGGTACGGCTCCTCCTCGATAGTCCACCCACGGACTAAGAAGGGAGCGATTCACAACAGCGTCTGTGTGTGAACCACCAACCCTCGCCGCCACTACAGTGCTGGATCACCAGGCAGCAGCAGCAGCCAAGGTGTGGCATGGCCACCACCACCAACAACCACCACCAGCCGCCCCGCTTTCACGATTGGCTATGACGCAGCTCGGATAACGTCGCTGCAGTTAAAGTTGAATCGGTTCGTCATTGCCCTGGCACTGGTGCCCGGTATAATATACGCGGGCTGGGTGGCGGTGGGAATTGGGGGGGGGGTGCCGTGCACACTGCGAGGGGGGGTGCCGGGTTACGTCGCAGCTGTCGCCTGCCGATCCATATTTAGCAGCGGGGGCTCCGTGTGCCCCAGCCCGGAATAGCAGTGGCGGCGGTGGTGGTGGTGGTGGCAGTGGCAGCGGCCCAAGATTACAGCCGCTTGGAAGGGTGACCCGGCTGTCTTGGTGGGGTGGAGGGTTAGGGGGAGATTGCGTGCGGTGTTAATGCCCGTCGTCTCTCTGGTTCTTTCCGTGCGTTATCAAAACCCGAGGATTGTAAGAAAGGGTAATAACCATTTTCGAGTCAGGTGTTCCTGTGTGTGGGTTGGCAGTGCAACGGTTAGCGTGCTGCACTGCGCTACAAACCCGGCGACCCGAGTAAAATTCCAGCTCACGACCAAATAACAGTGGCGAATATTTGAACCAGTCTTGGGCCTCCCCTAGGTCGACTCAACCTCAAATGAGTGTGTAAACATCCTCACTAGGAAGACAAAGGTGGCTGGGCGTGGTGTTCAGGCCACACACCACCTCCGTGCTGATCTTTCATCTGTGTCCGCGAACAGCACTTGCACCCAACAGCCCGTGTAAGCTACACGGGGCAATCTCGTCTTTACCGTGCGTGTCGCTCACAGGGCCAACAACAGCTTCCAGATGGAGGCAGAGCAGCTCACGTGCCCACCTTGCCAGGAGGCCCCCCAGGACCCCACAAATCCCGAGACCCCCTCCCTCCCTATGACCCCGGAGGCCACGGCGACCCTAGAGGTCGCCGGGGCCCCCAAAGGCCCTGGCAACCTGGAGACGGCTCCTGAGGGCAGTGCGTTGCTGGAGGCCGAAGTGGCGTCGGGGTCTGTGAAGGTCGGCCCAGCATCGCCACCACAGGAGGCCCCCTGCAAGGCCGAGGGGCCGCCCGCAGTGACAGCAGAGGCTGTGCTGGAGGAGACAGTCACGCAGTTGATAGAGCCTGGCAAAGTGGAGGAAGCCGAATTGTCTGCAGTTCAGGAGCTGCTGCCACATTCGGTGAACAAGAAGAAGTTTGGTGAGTGGTGGCGTGGCTGTGGACCATGTTACGCTATGGGCAATGTTAGTCTATGGGCAATGTTACTCTATGGGCAATGTTACTCTATGGGCAATGTTTGTCTATGGGCAATGTTTGTCTATGGACCATGTTACTCTATGGACCATGTTACTCTATGGGCAATGCTAGTCTATGGACCATGTTACGCTATGGGCAATGTTAGTCTATGGGCAATGTTTGTCTATGGACCATGTTACTCTATGGGCAATGCTAGTCTATGGGCAATGTTAGTCTATGGACCATGTTACTCTATGGGCAATGCTAGTCTATGGACAATGTTTGTCTATGGGTAATGTTAGTCTATGGACCATGTTACTCTATGGGCAATGTTAGTCTATGGGCAATGTTAATCTATGGGTAATGCTAGTCTATGGACCATGTTACTCTATGGGCAATGCTAGTCTATGGGCAATGTTAGTCTATGGACCATCTTACTCTATGGGCAATGTTAGTCTATGGGCCATGTTAGTCTATGGACAATGTTTGTCTATGGGTAATGTTAGTCTATGGACCATGTTACTCTATGGGCAATGTTAGTCTATGGGCAATGTTAATCTATGGGTAATGCTAGTCTATGGACCATGTTACTCTATGGGCAATGCTAGTCTATGGGCAATGTTAGTCTATGGACCATCTTACTCTATGGGCAATGTTAGTCTATGGGGCAATGTTAGTCTATGGGCAATGTTTGTCTATGGGTAATGTTAGTCTATGGGCCATGTTACTCTATGGACAATGTTAGTCTATGGGTAATGTTAATCTATGGGTAATGCTAGTCTATGGACCATGTTACTCTATGGGAAATGCTAGTCTATGGGCAATGTTAGTCTATGGACCATGTTACTCTATGGGCAATGTTAGTCTATGGGCAATGTTAGTCTATGGGCAATGTTTGTCTATGGGTAATGTTAGTCTATGGGCCATGTTACTCTATGGGCAATGTTAGTCTATGGGTAATGTTAGTCTATGGGTAATGCTAGTCTATGGCCATGTACTCTATGGGCAATGTTAGTCTATGGGTAATGCTAGTCTATGGGTTAATGTTAGTCTATGGGCAATGTTAGTCTATGGGTAATGCTAGTCTATGGGCAATGTTAGCCTATGGGTAATGTTAGTCTATGGGTAATGTTAGTCTATGGGCCATGTTACTCTATGGGCAATGCTAGTCTATGGGCAATGCTAGTCTATGGGCAATGTCCGTCTATGGGGCCGTCCATAAATGACGTCACGCACCTGGGGGGGGAGGGTCAGACATTTGTGACGATGTGTGACAAGGGGGGGCTGGTTGGAGAAATGTGAAGTCACATCAAAATGTGCAACTTTACATAAATATAGACAACACGTCTTACTTAATTAATTGACTTTTTCATAAATGTTTTCTCTTACAACATCAGAGTGCAGCGGCACATTAAATACGCACTACAATGACAATAGCTGAAAGCGATTTGAAGCATGTGTTTTTTTTTGGGGGGGGGGGCAGAGCTTTGTGACGTCATATTTTATTTGAGGCGGGGTCTGACTTTTTGTGATCCCGTGTGACGAATGGGGGGGGGGGGGGGGTCAAAAATCGCCCAAAATCGCGTGGCGTTATTTATGGACGACCCTATGGGTAATGTTAGTATATGGGCAATGCTAGTCTGTGTAGTGGGTTCAACTGAGTCGCACTCTTAGACTTGGAGGCAGCGCATTATTTAGTTCCAACACAACGGAGTGACTTCCTCTTTAACAAGACAACAACCTGGGGTGGTGACCACCCAGCTAACTACACACTGGCAACTGAGTAACTGTTAACTCCGTACCCGGGTTCAACAACATACGGCCCGGGTCCATGTGCTGGAAGACTCGTAGAACGGAGATCGTAGACGAAGGGTTTCTTCCCCGGGACGGACAACTGCTTATATCCTCTGCAGCTTGGCCGGCTCTGCCCCTGGCCACGCCCCCTTCCAGAGCCATCGGGAAGAACCTAGGTTCCAATCACGTGACCCTCCTAGCCCCTTCTTGGGGCCCCCCTGTCATTCAAACTTTTCACGTGTCCTCCCAGGTCAACCAGAGTTCCATGGCCTTACCCGACCTCTCTCTTAGGTCGGCACACACACACTGCGTGCCCTCTGGGCTGGCACTGCACTTACAGCATGGTGCCATCCAGCGATGTCACTCCACACACACCGTGCCTCTCTAGGGCCTGTACTGCACCGACAACATGGTGACATCCAGCGATGTCACTGCATCTTTACAATGCTAGCCTATGGGCAATGATAGTCTACGGACAACGCTAGTTTATGGGCAGTGTTAGTCGACCTCTAAGTGGTCGACGTCAGTGAGCATGTCCGTGATATTTTACTCCAGAACTTTGCATCAGTCACTCCTTCCAGCTGCATCAAATTGCTTCTGAAAATACATTCGTTGTCTTCCCCAGCTTCTGTGCGGGTCAATTATGTAAATAAAAGTCCAACACGACACCGTTACAAGATCTCAGTACAAAATCAATTCGTGCCACCCGAACCCAGACGCCGATTCCCGGAGTGGGGGCTAAACCCAGAAAGGGGAGTCCAATCAGTCGTGTCTCACGGTGGCCCCCACTTACGTGTGCATACGTGTGTGCGTTTGTCTTTGTGTGTGCGTGTGTGCATGCATGTGAGGAGCGATAGTTTAGCGGTTAGCACGTTGCACTATGAACCTGACGACCCGAGTTAAATTCCCACTCACGGCCAACACCAGTGACGATTATCTAAACGGGTCATGGGCCTCCCCTAGGTCGACTCAGCCTTAAATGATTACCGGTTGCGATGTGTACACAATGCCACTGGGGAGACAAAAGCGGCCGGCCGTGGTGCTGGCCACCCATCCCCTCGTGTGCCGGGCCGGCTTTTCATAGGTGCTCGCTAACAGTACTTGCCCCAACAGTCTGTTAAGGCTATACTAGGGATTTTTGTCTTTGTTTTGTGTGCGTGCGTGTGCAGCCAAGCTGCTAGTGCAGCTCATGGAGTCGCTAAGTGACTTCGCCAGCCCGAGGAGAAACTGGCGGCGCTCTGCAGCAGATACACAGAGTGGTAGTGATAGGCACGCACGCCACACACGCACGCACGCACCGCCGTGCACGCACACCGCGCGCACCACCACACATGCCCATGCTGAGTCACCCCATGCAGTCTCTGCTGCGTCACCACGCTTGTCACTCAGTCTCTGCAGGCCCGGTCATCGCGCCAGCTTGCCGCCGCCGCGTCCCACGAACGTGACCTCCTGCGCACTGACAACCACCGCCTGCTGCTTATGAAGGGGAAACTCGAGACTCTGTGCAGGGAGCTGCAGCGCAACAACAAGCAACTGCTGGTGAGGACCTCCACTGTTCATCCGTCAGACTCTTTAAACGCAAACCTTGGTACAGCCGACGTTCCGCTCACGTGGGTCACGGATGGGGAACTGGACGGGCGACAAATAACTGTTGGGGCCGCTGATGGCCAATTTGCGGTCAGCGTCTTCAATCGACCTTGTCACAGTCGTGTTTGTCGGGCGGCGGTCGCGGCCATTGTCGCGCTCGACCATTTTAATTGTCACGCCGCCGATGATCGCCGTGACTAGCCGACGGTTGTGTATTCGGACAATGGGCCTGGAGCAAAGCAATTGACGGATGGCGGTTGTCCCCCACCCCCGCCCCCCTCCTGTGGCCACATGCAGGACGAGAGCCTGGAGCGCGTGCACGCGGAGGAGAAGAAGCGGCGCGAGATGACGGAACACTTTCAGGCGACGCTCGACAACATCCGCAAGCAGATGGAGCTGAACGAGGGCCGCAGCGACCGGCTCCGCGGCGAAAACCAGGAGCTGGCGGAGCGGCTGAGCACGCTGCTGCGAGACTATGCGCATCGGGAGGAGGTGAGCCTGCCGCCACCAAGTCGCCAGCGTGAAGCCCGCGGCCGTGTTTCCCACGCGTTGACGCCTCATTGTGTTTCCCCCCTCGCTCAGCAAGTGGCGAAGATCCTCCAGTACCGGGAGCTGCAGCAGCAGCTATCGGCCGTGAAGCTGCAGGAGGAGTCGGAGCTGCGGCGCGATGGCGAGCAGCGGCACGAACGTGACAAGGAGTTTGTGCGTCGCGCACTGCGGCCACCGCAAGCACACACACACACATATGCACGCACTTACGCACGTGAGGTTCACGCATTGTGCAAGAACACGTGTGTGAAGTTAATGCGTTATGCGGGACACACACACGTGAAGTTCACGTGTCATGTGAGACACACGCGTGCATGATGTTTACGCGTAATGTGGGACACACACACATGATGTGGGACACACACAAATGAAGTTCACGTGTCGTGCAGAACATGCACGCATGATGTTCACGTGTTGTGCGGGACACACACACTTGACGTGTGATGCACCTGACACACCCACCTTGCATAGGCCATTATGTGATGTTCACATGCATCAAGAGTGTTTCTGCGTGGCATTCATACACCTTGCGTAACACACGTGCGACGTTCACAATGTGCTACAAACCTGGTGACCCGAATTCGATTCCCGCTCATGGCCAGCATCAGTGGCAAATATCTGAACAGATCCTAGGCCTCTTCCTTGGGCGACTCAGCCGTAAACAAGTACTTGGTATGGTGTGTAAACATCACCACTGGAGAGACAAAAAGGCCAGGGCGTTGGTGCTGGCCAAACCACCCTCATAGGTACTCCGTGTAGGCTGTACGGGGGATGTTTTTCTTTGTATGTGCATGCCATCGTAAGCTGCTCATTAACAGCACTTGCCCCAACAGACTGTGACGGCTATTTTAGGGATCTTCGTCTTTTGCCGTCCTTAGCTGCTGCACCAGGCGGCTGAGAGCAAGCTGGTGCTGAAGGTTATGGAGGAGAAGGAGGAGGCTCTGAAGAGACAGGTGAGGGGCAGCCACTGCGCCCCACTGCTCACCACTGCTCACCACCACCGCCCACACAGTCCCCGGCCCTGCCACAGAGAAACCACGATTATTGACGCTCTCCAAGTCAGGTTGAGAGCATTCATGCATGAGTTCTGTCCGTGTTCGTCTGTCTGTCCACGGGTGTTGGTGTGTGGGTGATGATAACTCTCCTACAGATGATCCAATTATAACTGGAAAACAAATGCAGAATTTCATCATCATTGCTTCAACACAAGCAAACTCAACCGATTTTGTCTTTGTCAGCGGCCAGGCTCAAGCTTATCAGTAATCAGGCTTAAACCAAAGGGGGCACTTGCCCTGTGAACATCTATGAACATTCACCAGCATCTGTTGAAGCAAGCTTGCCTCTGCTGATGAAACACTAGGTATTGAAAACAGTCCTTGCCCATAAACTTTAACAGTTCACCGCAGCACCGGTTCAAGCGAGCCCGACTGCTAATGAGACACTGACCGTCGATACTGATACAGAATTTTGCTCGTACCGAACCAATGCTGTTGAAATTATGTGCTCCGAGGGGAAAGGCCGTGAGGCTGATGGGATGTGGGAAGGAATCGTCTTGTTGTCTGCTTCCTTACTTTGTTCCCTACGTGTGGCTCATGCACCCTGAGTTAAAGCGGGGGGAGGGGATTAGGGGGCATTGGGGGGGAGGTAGCATGAGCTGTGGACCTGCCCCTTGGGCGGAGAGCTCCATCAGAGGACTCATAGTTGGTTGAGCAACTCTGCGGTGCCTGTGCGACCGGATGTGCGTCCACGTGTGTTTGCCGACAGCTGCTGCTTTACACGCAGAGGATTTCCGAGTTTCAGGAGATGCTGACCAAGAGCAGCAAGAGCTTCTCCACCTTCCGCGGCGAAATGGACCAGGTTCGTCATTGCATGATAATGCCGCACGCACGCATTCACGTCAGCATGTGGCCGGTCGTATTGGGGTTGATGGCCACTGGGGAGAAAAAGGCGGCCCGGCGTGATGCTGGCTACCCACCCCCTCTGGTGTCATGCCGGCCTTCATAGGTTGCTACTCGCTAAGAGCACTTGCCCCAAAAGTTTGTTTAAGGCTATATGGGGTGATCTATTCTTTAGACAACATGTGTGTGCATCACTTTGTGTGTATGTTTGTACGGCCAATGGGAATTCTGGATGGGTGCGAGGGACTGGTAACCCCTCCACATTCAACTTAACTACCACTAAAAACGTGTTAAAAATCGAATTAACCTTGTGCTGGAAGCCCTGGGGGGACAGGCGTCTATAACATCTCCTGGCCAGGAGACTGAATCCTTACCTTCGGCATTCCTCCAGAAACAGCAAAAGGCTATTGTGGGTGGCCACGTGGAATGTTCCAACGCTCACTGCACAGGAGAGGCTGCCACTCCTCAGGAGCTGGACTGGTATCACCTCGATCTCGGCAGTATTCAGGAGGTCCAGTGGACTGGCTCTGGCTCCGGCCACCTTGAGGGGTGGACAGTCCTCTACTCGGGACAGGAGACTGCCAAACAACAGGGAGTGCTCTTCTTCTGAGTAAAATAATGAAGGGGCATTGGAGCATGGCAGTGAGGTGTGGAAGCTATACGCCCCAAGCTAATGTGGACTCGCCTTCCATCAACCAGAGGCGAGGAGTGGTGGTCATGGTTACTTATGCTTCCACCGAAGATGAACATCAGTGGAAAGGATGCAGGCAAGGCTGTTGAGTCAGATGACTTGTATGACGTCCTGTCACAGGTGCTTGCTAAAGTGGCCCCTCGGAATAGAGTCATCTTGTTGGGTGACTTCAATGCCCGAGTTGGTCATGATGCTGGCACCTGGTCTGGAGTGATTGGAAGACATGGACCAGATCAGCTCAATAGCAACGATAGGAGGATGCTTGATGTTTGTTCAGCGCATGGGCTTGTAATTATCAACACACTGTTCCAGTGTTGGCGCATCTACACAACATCATGGATGCATACCGGGTCCATAAACAACATCTGCTGGACTATATTGTGACGGAACAGCAGTTGCAGGGCCATGTGCTTGACACCAGGACCAACCAGGGAGCTGATCTGCCCACTGACCATCGGCTTGTCATTTGTAAGATGCATCTGTCATTCTTCCACTCCGGTGGCAGGTGTGCATCCAGGACCCAAATCAACCCCACAGTGTCCTGGTCTCAGCTAGCTGATAAAGTTGCAAGTGAGAATTTCATCATCGCTTGCAACTGGGGTTGGCATCATCCTCCACGCCTCCTGATGCCAAGGAGAAATGGCCGAGGTTAGAACTGTGGCCCATGCAGCTGCAATGGCTGCTGTAGATGCACAGTTCAAACCTCCCCAGAGATGCTGGCTGTCAAAAGAGGGGTTTCGGCTGGCTGAGAAAAAGCGACAGGCCCACTCTCACCATCTACAGCATCCCATGTCAAACAATGAGGAGGCTTACCACAGCCTTCGCTCAGAGGTTCGGAGAGCCGTGCAGCACTGCAAGGATGGGTGGTGGTCGCAGATTTCTGGGGAGGTGGAGTCTGCCCTCCGTAGCCTGCAATCACAAATCACTCTTTAACTCGATCAAAAAAAATAATTTGCAGCGCCACACCTATTACCATCATTAGGGGAAAGAAAGGTGATCTGATATTTCTACCCCCAAGAACAGGTTTTCAGATTTGCTGAGCATTTATGTGAAGTCTTGGGAGAGGGGAAATCCCTCAGCCTAGAAAACCATCAAGAGGCATAGTGGGGATGACCCTGCTGAGGCTACTTGCCTCAAATATTGGAAGAAGTAGTCACCCCTGTGAGTGGCTGGCTGACGTTGCCATCTTTTGGGGAAGTACAGAAGGCAATCCAGAGTCTGAGACCAGGAAAAGCACCGGGCAGAGATGATCTTCCAAGCAAAATGTTGGGCGAGGGTGACATTTGTGTACAGACTGCCCTAGATGACATCATAATATGAAGCTGGACCACTAGATGGGTTCCGCAGGATTGGAAGGATGCCCTGGTGGTCCCCCTCTTTAAGAAGGGGGACCACACAAACTGTAACAACTACAGGGGCATCTCCTTCCTCAGTGTGTTAGTGTAGTGACATGAAATGTTGTCACTCTATGGTTAGCGCCAGCCACTATTTCACATGTGCTGCTGAGCACCGGGTAATGGAGGGACACGTGACTGGGAGCAGGAGGCTCCTTACTTGATACAGCAGGGGGCATGGCCGAGGGCGGGGCGAGACCGAGGGTGGGAAGAGCCCGTGCCCAGGGAAATAAAGGAGGAGGCCCGACAGGGATCGGGGTTCATTGTGGGGATCAGCCTGGGATCCCCCGTTTTTTCGTCCTCACTCTTCGCTCCTTGTTCGTCGGAACTTGTAGCTTGAGATCGTGGGTCAGACAGCGTGTGTGCTGGCTGGCCCGTTCGCAACAGTAACCCGCACGCACATAGTGAACAGATAGCCACATCTAGCTATAGAACCCAAAGTGGTTAGAGCGGTGCAAATCAACGTGTTGCCTCCAACTATAGTGTGTGCGACTCAGTGCTATATACACTACACTAGGAAAGGTCCTGGCAAGGATTATTCAACATCGTCTTGCCAGGCAAGCTGAGGAGAGGCTTGCGGAGCCCCAATGTGGTTTCAGGAAATGTCAGACCTGCACAGATGCCATATTTTCTGTCCGTCTGCTACAGCAGAGGTGGAGGGAATTCGAAAGGGACTTAGGCCTCTGCTTTATTGACCTGGTCAAGGCCTATGATAACATCAGTAGGCCTGTGCTCTGGGTTGTTCTTCGTGCTTTCAGAGTCCCTGACTCTCTGCTCACAATCATTAAGGACCTTCATGATGGTGCGCAGGCCCGGGTAAAACTACGTGGCCAGGAGTCGGAGCCAATCCTTGTTCACCCTGGTGTGATAGGGTTGTCCTCTGGCTCCAACATTATTTAACATCAATTTTGACCACATAGTTTGTGAACCCTTTGATGGCTGTACCGGAGGAATTTCCATCTGGTACAGATACAATGGGAGGCTGATCGATGCCTGGATGCGGTCAAGGGTTGCCTCCCTATTGGTCAACCATGTTATATATGCTGATGATCTGGTGAATGCTGCTCACTCAGACGAGGAGTTGGAGGTGCTGCTGCTGAACCTGGAGCGTGTGGGGCCTTACCATCAGCCCAACCAAAACTAAGCACCTGCCTGGGTATTTTGTGCCATCAGACACTCCACCCCCACAACTCCCAATTGCTTATGGGGCAGTTGTAGAGAGAATGGAGAGTTTTCCATAACTGGGCAGTGTGCTCATGACTGGTTCCGGATAGAGGGAGCTAAATAAACACAGCATGGGCTAGACACCGTGTGTGTGACACCGTGTGTGTGTTTGCGAGTGGGGAGCGATAGTGTAGCGGTTAGCGCGCTGCGCTATGAACCTGGCGATCCGGGTTCGATTCCCGCTCACGGCCAACACCAGTGACGATTATCTGAACCGGTCCCGGGCCTCCCCTAGGTCGTCTCAGCCTCAAATGAGTACCTGGTGCGGTGTGTAAACATCGCCACTAGGGAGACAAAGGCGTGGTGCTGGCCACCCACCCCCTCGTGTACCGTTCCGGCCTTCATAGGTGCTTGCTAACAGCACTTGCCCCTGCAGTCTGTTAAGGCTATATGGTGGATCTTTGTGTTTGCACGTGATGCTCAGATGACAAAGAAGATCATGAAGCTGGAGAAGGAGGCAATGGTGTGGAAGGAGCGCTGGCAGCAGAGCAGCCGGGCCCTGCTGGACATGACTGAAGAGGTGACGACACGACACACAATGCTATCACAACCAATGTCATGGTTCATAATTAGTGTATTTTGGGATTGGTCATCGTTTAGGTGTAATGTCAAATATTTATTTTTACTATAACCCTCCACTACCACCCAGCGACAGGCCAATAAAATTAAGTTTTCACGTCTATGGGCAAATATGCCAATTTATTTGGTTTTTCAGCAAACAGGAGGAGGAAAGATGAAAGGTCCACACACTGGAGATTACAAGCGGCATCAGCAACCAGGTGTTAACAAACGCTCAGCTGTCCTCCCCTGACCATGCTGAATGTAAAGAGCTGAGCATTATCACCTGATTTCTCTCTAGCGTATGGCAAGTATGTGCAAATCACACATCCCAGTTTAAGTATGTAAGCCATGTGATAGCTTCGGGAGTATTGCGACGAATACTGTTCGGTCCGCCGGAGAGCGGGCGTAGGATGCAGTTATTCGCAGTATGGTCCATTGTCTGGTTCAGGTGGTCGCAGTTACACTTTGGGTTGTCTTTAATTTTCTACTTGTGGAGGAGGTGTGCGCAGTGACCTGTTGCTGTTCTGAAATGGTTGATAGAGCACCATCGTTTTATTGGCAGATCAACACCGTGCATATCAATCATGGGGTCCTCGATGAGGATTTTATTTGGAATGTCCACATAACTCCAGAGTGTTCACCAGCAGTCTTCAATAGACCCCGCTTCATCCAATTGTCTTGCACGATCACAGATTGGTTTCCAGGATTTCAAACGAGTTCGTGGAGGGTTAAGCAGGTCTTGTTGTAATAGTAAATGTACACTGCCTCGGATTTTTTCCAATAGGTTTGCTGTTGCTGCATCCCGGCGGAGGTTTGCTGGTGTAATGTTGGCCAGAACTGGTAGCCACTCAGTGAGAGTGCATTTCAGTGTGCTCGTTATTGTTCGAAGGACGCTGTTGATCTGGATTTCCAATTTCTTTGTGTGGGCGCTTGATGCCCAGACTGACATGCAGTACTTGGCGCTGGAGTGCACGAGCGCGAGGGCGGTCATGCGAAGAGTTTTGGTGGCGGCATCCCACGTTGTACCGGCCAGTTTGCGTAACAGAGCTCCTCTGCTTTTTGTTTTTTGACACCTTTTCAATGTGCTTTTTGAATGTGAGCCTCTGTCTAGTGCTATGCCCAAGTACTTGGTATATTGGTCATTTTTGACAGATTTACCACAGAATGTCATTTACAACTGGGCGTTTATGTCATGGTTATTGAGATGGTGAATTGAGACAGTTGTTTTGGATGGATTCAGTCAGTCTCCACTTTTGTAAGTAGTCTTCTAATATAGACAAGTCTTCTGTTAGTGTGTCACTAATGGACTTCAGGTTTATTCCTTGAGTAGCCATTGCTATGTCGTCTGCATAGATAAATTTGTAGGATGATGTCTTTGGCAGGTCGCTGGTGAATATGTTAAACAGGATCGGAGCCAGTACTGATCTCTGAGGTAAGCCGTTGTTGACATTTTTTTGTACGGCTTGTGTTAGCGGCAAGGTGTACCCGGAATTAAGCAGATTCATTGTTGAAACGCCACTTGATGATGCGCACTGCCTTGAGTAGTAACCCATGTCTCCAGACGGTGTCATAAGCGGATGAGCGGTCTATCATAGCGATACCGTTTTTAGCCTTCGCTGGAATCCAGATTCGATGTAGCTGGTGAGGGAAAGGACTTGCTCACAGCAGCTTCTGGCAAGTCAGAAGCCAGCTTGTTCAACGGGCAGGTTTGGTCAACTGTGGGCGCAATGCGTGTCAGCAGCATGCGCTCCATAAATTTGTACACCGTCGACAGCAGTGAGATAGGCCTGTAACTTGAGGCCTGATCTTCTGGCTTTCCAGGTTTCAGCAGGGCGATGACCTTTGCTCCCTTCCTCAACCACATCAATTCCATAAAACCAGCTATCAAGCCATCAAATTCACCATGGAGGTGGAAAAGGACAGCAAGCTATCATTCTTGGATTTTTAATCGAAAAGAGATGAGATGGCTCAATGGGACACTGTCTACAGGAAAGCAACCCATACGGATGCAGATCTAAAACCTGACTCCCACCACCATCCATCCCAGAAGAATTCCCTCATAAAAAGTCTACACCATAGAGCTCGATCTATTTCCGACCGTCATCACCTCGCCAGTGAACTGGAACACGTACACCAAGCTCCAAGATGAATGGATATTCACCCCAACCGTTGGGAAAGAACCATCTGAGGACCGAATTAAAACCATCACTTTGCCATGAGCAAACACAAGTTCCAGGTTCGATTTAACACAGTACATAAAATTTGTGATTTGAAACTAAGCGACATGTCTCTGACCGTGTTTGTGAACATAAGGCAGATCTGAAACACGGTAGGACCAATACCTCGGCCGTGGCTGATCATTGTTTAAATGCGGTGGGCTCACACAAAATAGATTTCTCTGAGACGAAGGTACTTTGCAAGCCTACTGGCTATCAACAAATATTCGTTCATGAAGCCATCCATATATATAGACACAGACACAATTTCAACCGAGAAGATGGATACAAACAGCAATCATTGGAAGGACATTATCAACCAATTTAAGTCATAACTGGCTATGATGTTCCCATCCTACCACCTTCCGATATTAGTTGTGCTTTATGCCCATTTCAAATTTGCGCTTTCACAGGATTCACACGAACAAAGCCACTTCACGCGCCGACCCCTCGGTTGCGGCTCTGCGATCTTTCACCTGGCAGCCCTTTGATTGGTGTAAAACCAACCACCATCGGGTTAGCTGCCCACCACTTGCATTAACATTGGCTGCTGACATTTGCGCTACGCCCATTTCAAACCCTTATAAATAGTTTGCCTTTGGAAGCTAAACCCCCTTTTCCTGAAGACGACCGCTTGTGTTGCGATCGAAATGTCATAGTTTTTGTTATTTACTTTGAACCTTACTCTTTGGTTCTTTCGGTAAAGTCACGTAGGCAGAAATAAAATTAAATAAACAAATCACGACGTTTTCGATCGCAACACAAACGATCTTCATTAGGTGGAACAACCACAGCAAGAAAATGCTGAAGTAGGCGAGAGAGCTGCCGTGGCAAGAGGTTATATAGGTAAGAAAGGGGGGAGGCAAAGGGGAGAGGGGGGGGGGTGTTGGTAGGGGAAGGGAGGCCTGCATGAGAACTAGGGGAAGAGGACGTGAGGCTGGGGGAGGAAGTGGGTGGGCTAGAAGTGGGAAGCTGAGTGTGGGACATGGTAGGGGGGGGGGGGAATCTACTAGTAAACGCAGGTAGGATGGAAACAACCGCAACCAGTTAAAACATTACCTGGTTAATAACATCCTTCCAATTATTGTTCAATTTGTATCCATCTTCTCAGTTGAAGTTATGTCTATGTTTATATATCTGGATGGCTTCATGAACAAACCTTTTATAGTTGCCCGAAGGTTTGCAGATTATCTTGGTCTCGGAAAAAAACAATATCATGCGAGCCCAAAGCGTTATAACAATGGTCAGCTACGGCAGAGGTATTGGTTCTGCCGTGTTTCAGATCTGCCTTGTGTTCGCGAACACGGTCCAAGACATGTCGTTTCGTTTCCCCAATGTAACTGCCACCGCAGTTACAACTCCGTTTTTAGACTCCAGGGTATTTCATGTAAGGAATGACCTCCTTCACAGATGGGATTAGATCACAGATTTTGTGTATTGTATTGAATTGGACCTGGATCTTGTGTTTTTTTAAGATTTTGGAAATATTTTTGGTAACACCTGCTATGTATGGTAAAGTGATGGTTTTGATTGGCTTCTCAGGAGATTGTTTCTCCATGTTTGGAGAAACAACTTTGCGAATCATGCGGTCCGAGTACCCATTCATCTTGAGGGCTTGGTGTACGTGTTCCAGTCCACTGGCTAGGTGGTGTTGGTCGGAGATCCAGTGGGCCCTATGGTGTAGTGTTTTGATGAGGGGATTCTTCTGGGCTGGATGGTGGTGGGAATCAGATTTTAGATATGAATCTATGTGGCTGGCTTTCCTGTAGACAGTGTCCCAACGAGCCGTCAGGCCTCTTCTCAAACAAACATCCAGGAATGGTAGCTTACCATTCTTCTCCACTTCCATGGTGAATTTGATGGATGAGTGTATGGAATTGATGTAGTTGAGAAATTGGTTCTTACCTATATAACCTCTTGCCACGGCAGCTCTCTCGCCTACTTCAGCATTTTCTTACTGTGGTTGTTCCACCTGATGAAGATTGCTTGTGTTGCGATCGAAACGTCGTGATTTGTTTTATTTTATTTCTACCTACGTGACTTTACCGAAAGAAGTAAAGAATATGTCATGTCCATTGATTTTATAGTTCACGAGTAGGTTACCTTCAGCGTGGGTTTCCTGGAGTGCTACAACATCAATGTGTTTCTGATGTCAACACTTGGCGAGCACCTCACTCTTTGCTCGTGAGAGGTCTTCCATGTTTTAGTTGGTACACTCGAAATGCAGGTCCCACTCTTCTTTGGCTGATCATTTGGCCCTTAAAAGGACCGCTTTTTGAATGCGATTTGCACATATTTGAAATCGAATATACACGATTTCCAAAAAGGCCGAATTGATGGTATTTGTCGTGTGATGAGGCACTTAACAGGTGGGTCGCAAGAAGGCTACCATCTTCCATCCTGATGATGCTGGTTGTGAACAGCTGATGATGCTGGTTGGTAACCCCTGATGATGCTGGTTGTAATTTCCAGTGTAACGTCGTGCAAAATTGTCACTTTTTTTGCTTGATTTTTAACGTTCTTCCTCTGGTTTTCATTTGGATATCTCGTGGGGCAGCGTGACCCTCGTGTTAGAGAATGGCCCACAGAAGATGATATATCTCAGAGGGTGCCGTGGTGGCAAGATGTTAACCACCTCGCCTGGTTTTCAGAATTTGTGGGTTTGATCCCGCCCTCGACGGCTGTATATTTGGAGTGTGCATGTCTCCCTCTCCCCGTGGTTGCCTGGATTTTTCTCCGGATCCCTCTGGTTTTCCCCTCCACATTAAAAAAAACATGCATTGAGAGTATTTGGCTGCGATAATTTTACACATGATAAATCACTACGTTGAGCTATCGTTTGTGGCCAGGTCCCTTCTTAAAAGAGCTATATTGCTCAGTGGGCCTTACCTGGTAAAATAAAATAAAAATAGAGCTATCTCAGAGCTGCCTCTGAGATGATAATTGCTGGTGAACTCTGGTCCACGCATGGTAGGGGGCAGCACTTTCCCGCACCCCTCACTGCTACAGAGAAGGACGTTCAGTTTCTTAAATCCCCCCTCCCCGCTTCCGTCTACCCAACAGTAAGAAAGGGTTCAAGTCAAACAGCAGGTCACGTGCGGTGGGATCAAGTGTGCGCGCTCCCACCTCTGTCCAGTGTGGAAGAGTAGGCCAAATACCGTCGAGAGGAAGGTGGGGGGAGGGGGGCGAACTCTCTATTGCTCTTCTCTCGTGCAGGCCCTTTCAGTAGGAATAGCCTAAGCGAGGCATTGCAGAGCTGTACCTTGGCCTCGTTACATGACAAAAGAAGTATGAAGTACTGTCTTCCCCTTTATATAATATTTCCAATTACTTTACACTTCCCCACTTCATTTGTTGTTATTGTCAGGTCTGGGGTTCGTGGCAGCAACATCAGATTAGAGCCTCTCCCCAATCCATCGTCCGCTGAATTCATGATTCAAATAATTGCTGAATTGCGTGGGCATCGCGTGCCAGAGACCCACCTCGCTGCAGGATTCAAGCTGCAAACGTGGCTTTGTCGCCACCCTGCGGACCATTTTGGTCGGGTGGTGGAGGTTGTTACATGACAACAAAAATATGCCCTATCATTGTGGCGATTATCTGCCTTCTGGCGGTCCTGAGCCGATCCGGCAAAACTGGCAAAACCGCTGCAAAGGCTGTATCCATTCCAGCTATTGGTACCACGTGTAGCGTCACAAACCAAGTAGCTATGCTTGATTTAAGTGTTAAATATTAAATACAGTACATTATACACTTACACACAACACAACATAAACAATAAAAATAATGCACATATACTGTATACATCACCCCATGCAGAGTCTTCCAATTATTTGCATCTATTTGTATCTTCTTTGGTTCTTTCGGTAAAGTCACGTAGAATGAGAATAAAATATAAATGAATAAAATAAAATAACACAATAAAATTCTCACGACGTTTCGGCTACAACACAAGTGGCCTTCTTCAGGTGAAAGGAACAGACCTGTCGGGACGACAGAGCTTCATTGAAGCTCTGTCGTTGAAGCTCTGTCGTCCCGACAGGTCTGTTCCTTTTCACCTGAAGAAGGCCACTTGTGTTGTGGCCGAAACGTCGTGAGAATTGTATTGTGTTATTTTATTATTTTATTCTCATTCTACGTGACTTTACCGAAAGAACCAAAGAAGATGAATCCTTGCAGTCACGAAAGCTTTAAATCGAAATCTATTTGTATGTTTATTTATGCCACCTTCATATAGTAAACCCATTTAAAACATAAAACAACAACAAAAACATGTCATACAAGAATGTGCAAAATAAGCTATTTCCAATAAGAACGATTAGTGATAATTATCCAGCGTTTTGAAAATCTGGGCCCCCTCCCCCCCCACCCTCGAAGCCCCCGGATAATCTACTGTCTTTACAAACGCCCACTTTTTTGCTTCGTCTTCTATCTTTTTCCTCTCCTCCAGAAAGTTCGTGCGTGACAAGGAGATGGAATGCCTGCAGCTGAAGCTGCAGCGTTTGGAGCGACTGTTGCGGGCCCTGCAGAGCGAGCGCGGCGACCTGGCGTCCCTGCGTCAAACAACTAATGAGCCAGATCAATGGCAACGCTCCCAGCGGCGAAAGCAGTCGCGAGCTGCGACCTCCCCGCAGACGATGCGCCGGCTGTGCAGCTCGCCGAGCCAGCTTGGCAGCGAGGCGGACGAGCTCGCCGGTTTGGTATCGGGCGACCTCGTTGGTATGGCTATGGGGGTTTGTGTTCTCACGGACTCTGCATCCTGTGCGCTTGACCAGTTCTCCTGGGAGCTCACCGATTCTAAATTTCCGGTTTGTGATGCCACCGGCTCGTCAGCTTGCGAAGCAATGCCAAGCCCCCGTGCACGGCGCCAGCAGTCTGTGCTCCCCCCCCGACGAGATCGGCGAGAAGTGCCCAGACATGTCCGGTGACGGTAGTCAGCCGCTCGTGGGTTTAGCGCAGCTACCGGCACTGTGTCCTGCTCCGGTATTGCGAAGAGGTGGCGACGGTTTCAGTGATAACGCTGCAGGGCAAATACTGACCTCGCTGCACGTCAGTAATACTGACACCGTGGAGAAGTGCGTTGATCCGAAAGTTGGCAGGGTTGAGTCAGACACCACCAGCGCAAACCCAGGACGAGGTAGCGGGTAAGGTGGAACGAGACGTTGGTGGTAACCCGAACACAGAAGCCGGCGAAGACGATTCTCGCGCAGGTAATGTTGCACTTAGTGTCAGTGAAGCAGAAGGTAAGCTGTCAGTGAAGCAGCCAGAGCCCGAGGTGCATGCTGTAGTGCGCAACAGTGCTTTCGATAGCCTGCAGGCATCGTGCCAGAAGCTGGAAGAGTCTTTCTCCCTCATTAACGCCATGTGCCAGCAGTCGCAGGGCTTTCTGAATGCTCGCAAGCAGACGGCTGGTGCGGTACTGGAGGAGGTAGTGAACGGCTCTTTAACCGGGACGCCATTGCTACTTGCTGTCGAAAGGAAAGGTTGGAGGCATCTCCCAAAGAAGGCAACCTTATCCTTTTCTCCGACCAGCAGGGCACAGTAGAACTAAGCAGCAGCAGCATTAGCACTGTGGAGTCACCATCAGACCAGGGCGTGAGCTCATCAGCATCACGTTAGAGGATAATCTATCTCGGTCTCGCAGACAACTTGCTCCATCGCTCACACCCTAGAGTAGGATCACCAAATCTGTTACATGGTACACCAAGCTGGGACACGTTCCTCAGTAAGCCTAGGTCTGTTATCAAAATAGCACAGCAGACTGCACTATAGTTCCAACACGGTGACATCGGTGCCAGATCTCGGTTACAAATCGATTTCTGACCATCTAACAAAGATGTAAATTCCCGGATTCTCCGGGTCAGACTCAAGTAAGCTGGTCCTGCCACCCAAGTGACTTCTCTGATTGAGGCTCTGGTCGGGGTTACCACCAAGAACCAGCTGCTTGGGTCACCATGGCTACTAGGGTTGCACGGCGATACTACGATAATATGAGGTGCACAGTGATTATATTGCTTTGCAAAAGATCGTCATATCACGCATTTCATTTTCCAATTTTTTATCACGATAATAAAATATCAAATAGCAAGAACAAAGTTCACAACTATAATAATACATGAAAAAGAAGTTGCTCATCATTAATTCAGCACTTTGTAAAACGTTGCTCGGGTTGATGGGCACGGGGGGTGGGGGTTATGTGATGTCATCATGTTCCGACAGCGCATGCGTGACAAGTGCGACAGACTGTGAAGTCACAATGATTCTACGACTTATAGCAGCCTCAATATTGAGTGAACTGCAGTTAAAGAATTTGTGTGTGGTGATCTTTATTTCTTATGTGAAGAAAAGCAAAGCGCAAAGTAACGACGTGATGCGAAAATGTATTACAAAGTTGAGGGAAAACCACGATAAATCGTCACAGCATGATATGAGAATCTTACATTTTTAAGGATATTTAAGGCCGTATCATATTGCATTGTGAGAGATTATATTGCGACAACCCTAATGGATAAGCCAGGTGAGGACTCAAGAGAGAAGGATATCAGTCTAATTTGTAAGAGGGACCTGGGTCACCAAATTAACAAAAAAGCACAGCAACGTATAGCAATAAAGCAAAGAGAAATCAGGCTAAACAACCAAACAGAAATCAGAGCAGAGACAGCCAGATAAAGATCAGAACAGACAATCAGATAGAAATCAGAGCAGACGGCCAGATAGAGATTGGCTCAAATGCAACCGCAACATACAAGAAAAACAGTGCACAAACGTAGAGGCGTTGAAAATTAAATATATGTTCTCTTACAAAAGGACATTTACCATTACGGTTATGGTAAAAGTGAGTTACAAAAACATCCCAATTGATTTTGCGTGATTATTGCACTACTGTTGTATGTAAACATACGAGGACAAGCGTCTACTACTGTACCTGGCTGCCTTTGTCTCTGCACTAAGCCAGCTTTAGAATAGTCCTTAGGTCTTTCGGCATCTCTGGAAATTACACGCCGAGTACGGACGTTGAAAGTACTAGCAGGGTGCACATTCAGCCTGCACGTGAATGTGTGTATAAACAACTTGTTTTACCTAATTTCTCTTTGTTAATATATTGGCTTCTTCCCCCTGGCCCGAAGAAGTCCAGGACATTACACCTCTTTCTTTCAGTGATGGTTTTATTCACAGATAAGCATACAATTATATATCAATGGAGTCCGTGAACGTAAACAAACCACTGGTTAACACTGCGACAATACGCAGGCGTGAAGACTTCTGTGCAGCCCCTGCTATTCCAAGTTATAATAAACTCGAGAGAGAACCCCAGTGGTCACCCTGTATATTCCTCGCTCCGTTGGTACCGACATCCCTACTGAACCTCCTGGCCCCGTGCTCTTCTCTCCAAGCCTTTCACGGGTGTCCCTTTGAGTAATCCTGGCTCCTGCTGAGTACTTCCTTAGCCTTGCCCGCTCCTGAAGTCTTCATTTTTATCATTAGACCTCCTTTGCCAGTACCAAAATATAATAATAGGGGGTTTCCCCGTTTTTCTGGCAACAAAACTGAAACCTTTTTACGAGGATTCATGTCTGCATTAACCACAATACTTGTCAAAATGGGTAGTTGCAGTCCTTTAGCATCCATATACTAAATGCCTCTGTTGATATGTAAACTTTGACTTTAACATAGCTATTTCCGTGACCAGTCACATGCTAATCCCTCACATTAACATCATGCTAATCTCCCAGTTACATGCTAATTTCTGACTTTAACACCCTGCTGATCCAACACTTTATCACAGCTATTTCAATGCTAAATTCTCCTGTTTGATATGTAAACTCCTTTGTCAAGGCGCTTTACTTCTCCCACCTAGCTTAAAAGACGCTGCGAATCTTAGCAGCGTTCATTGAAGCGCTGTCGTCCCGACAGTTCTGTTCCTTTACCTGAAGAAGGCTACTTGTGTTGTGGCCGAAACATCGTGATAATTTTATTGTCTTATTTTGTTTTGTTTTATTCTCATTCTACGTGACTTTACCGAAAGAACCAAGAAGATGAATCGGAATTTAACCACCTCTACGGGGAGGGATTCTACACAACCTTAAGATCCTTCAACAAACTCCGAGATAAGAAGGCTAAACTAATCGAGTCTCTCATCTTTCTGAAGAAATGCCGCGACTCTAAGGTAATACCAACCGCATTTACACTAACCTCTACTGCTGCAACTTCTTTTAATGCAAAACGAATTCTTGCTAGAACTAGCCTAGCTCTTATCTCAGAAAAAATCAGACTGACACACACCGAACTAGATCAGTTAGACAAGACACTCTACAAATCACACTTAACATTGACAGCAACAATGTCTACATCGGATTGGGAACATGTAGACAATATGACTACCTCTTCAGCTGCCACTATGTCGACCAAATGTAAGGACAATTTGATTTCCAAATTAAATCGCCTTTCCAACAAAAAATCGGATCCACACACTGAAAAGATAGATGTTAACAAAGTCGTAATTAATCGCAGTAACAGTTCCATTTCTGATGGCCTGAAATCCGTTTTAGCTAAAGGTCTAAACTTTGCTGTCACACCGAGACATACCAGTTAATGATATCATTGCCCATGTCAACGTTGCACTCAAGGGCCTAGGTCACATCGCTGCAGACGTAGCAAGATCTGAAATCGCTGCAACCCTCAAAAACGCTAAGATGCCACCTAGCAACATCAGCAAAGATGAGCGCTTTGAATTATCTCAATTAAAAAAGAGAGATGACATTGTCATCCTCTCAGCCGACAACGGCAATGCTACTGTCATCATGGACAAAATATAATATAACAACAAAATTCAAGAACTCCTCAACGATGGCAACTATACAAAAATAAGAAGAGATCCCACCAACAACCTGGTTACCAAAACGAACAGAATCATCTCTGATTCAACAGCATTAATTGATCAGACCAAACAGTTCTCGTTGAAACCCTCTGCTGCCAGACCACCAAGATTATATGGCCTTCCAAAGATACACAAAGAAGATACACCCCTTCGTCCCATCGTCTCCACTATCAACTCCCCCACCTACAAACTGGCGCGTTTTCTGGCTGATATACTGCGACCTTTCACCGGAAAAACCACCTCTGCGGTATTAAATTCTACTCACCTGGTATCGACAATCAAGGGCATTTCCCTGTCCCAGACGACCTGCTTGTCAGTTTTGATGTGGTGTCCTTATTCACCAAAGTTCCGATACCTGACACCATCGCAATCATTGAAGACCTGGTTCATCAATGATTCTGGCTTAGTAACCATTTGTAAAGATGTTTTAAACCATTTCGGTTCTTAATTAATTGTATTTTACGGTGACCTTCAGACCCCAGCCCTTTCGCTGGCATTGCCTCTTAATACCTCTCACACCACGGTTAATGGTATGGTTTATAACATGGAGTATAACAGCGCATCGTGGCTGTTTCTCCCCCCTCTTCTGTTCCGAGCATAGATGGACTCGTCCGTCTGAACAAAGCTCGTCACTGTCCATGGTGCTAACGTTGAAAATAAAAAAACCGCCACCCATTTTTTCGCCATATGGCATTGTAATGTATAACGACTTATTGTTAGTAGCTCAGCTGATTGGAGAGTATATCGAGTTTATTGATAACATTGATGTAGTTTATATTTTAGTTTTTTATTATTAGTTTACTATATGGTATTCATTATATAGTGTAGTGTATACCCAGTTACTTTATGTTAATAGCTCAACTTATTGAAGAATGTATTGAGTACATTTATTATATTGGTGTAGTTTATACTTAGTTTTTTTCACATCGGTTTATTGTATGATAGTTGGGTAGTTGCAGTCCTTTAGCGTCCATATACTAAATACATCTGTTGATATGTAAACTTTGACTTTAACATAGCTATTTCCGTGGCCAGTCACATGCTAATCCCTCACATTAACATCATACTAATCTCCCAGTTACATGCTAATTTATGACTTTAACACCCTGCTGATCCAACACTTTATCACAGCTATTTCAATGCTAAATTATCCTGTTTGATATGTAAACTCCTTTTTCAAGGCGCTTTACTTCTCCCACCTTGCTTAAAAGACGCTGCAAATCTTAGCAGCATTCATTGAAGCGCTGTCGTCCCGACAGTTCTGTTCATTCACCTGAAGAAGGCTACTTGTGTTGTGGCCGAAACGTCGTGAGAATTTATTGTCTTATTTTGTTTTATTGTTTTATTCTCATTCTACGTGACTTTACCGAAAGAACAAGAAGAAGAAAAATATATACTATGATAATATATGCACTGTCCTTGAAACTGATTGGTCCACACCAAGGGACGGCTTTCTTTTGAGCCTCGACCCAATTGGTGCTCGACCAGAGGAATCCAAAAGGCGTACAGCTCAAAAGACAATGCACTATCAAAGTTTCAAGGACAATGCATATATTATCATAGTATGTTTTTTGTTTGCATTTTGACTACAAGTATTGTGGTTAATGCAGACATGAATCCTTGTAAAAAGGTTTCAGTTTTGTTGCCAGAAAAAAAGGGGAAAAACTCTATTATTATGAGTCTTCATTTTGTGTGTTTAATTTGTTGTTCCTTTTCGGCACCTCCGATTAGCACGGTTGGCTACGTACGGTGAGAAAAAAAGTTCAACCAAACATACGTACATACATTCCCAGTCAGTTACTTCCCGCTCTGAGAGGTTATATTGCGACAACCCTAATGGATAAGCCAGGTGAGGACTCAAGAGATCCAAAATCCCTTTTCATCCACCAAAGTGCACAAATATCAGAGGCGGGCATCCCAGACTCTCGGTCCCTTGCCGTTTCCCGTTTGGGTTTCCTAGGATCCCACTCTCCCAAAGACTGTCTTTCCTCCCGCACCACACAGCAGAATGACCCGGATTGGCCCAGAATTTGTATCCATGGCATTGAATAGCCAAAGCAGACATACATCTAACTCGTATTCAGTTCTTAAACTTTTTCAATGGAACTTTTTTAGATGAGATACATGCAAAGTTAAAGTGTATATCCAAATATAATACAGTTGGGTCATTTACAAATAGGTTATTGGGGGAAAATACCAAGCTGATTTAAACATAACTTTAAGTTCAAGTTTACTTTAGGTAACGAAGTGGAAACTCAAGAAACCAGGATAGTAATCTCCCGTGGAAGAGCTGGGCCATTAGTTTGCCAGTAGGAGGTGATGGTTTCCATTGAATAGCCACTCGCTCATGCGACACAGCACTCCCGCATCTGGCGCATGGAAGTCCGCTACCCTCTCACCCTTCACCTGTAACCATCAGCACAGGCAGCGGCACCTTCTCCTGAGCACCAGCATGGCACGCCAAACATCCGCAGCATCGACATCAGTCATCTCAACATCTCCAGCGCTCGTCCGCCTCGACGTACCTGCGGCCTTCATCACCGTTAACCACCTGTGGTGCCATAGCAACGGAGCAACTCCGGCGGTGCCGCCATCCCCTTGCACCCCTCCACACGAACGCACGCACACCCCCACTAAACACACACATGCACCCACGTAGGGTCTCGTGGAGGGGGTCACCTGGTATCATGGGTTTTTACCCGAGGGGTCCCTAGTGGGGATGTCCCACGGCTTCCCAGTGCCAGGAGATTGGCTGATCCCCCCAGGCCAAATTGCATTGCGGCCCCTGTGAATTGGCTTCAAATTGTATGGGCGCGTCGAAGCTCACCAGGCTTACCACAATGAGACACTCACAGCACAGGGAGATAGGGCCTCGAGGGCAAACACTCCGCGAGCAGCACATAAGAGGAGGTGGGAGAGAAATTCCTGGACCCACTGCAGATGTGTATTCTGTGGGACGACCACCCCGATCAAACCGGTTGAGTCCGGGGAGGACGGAGGTGTAGACAATGGATCGAGGCGTAATGGAAAGCAACGCTCCAGGTAGGTGTGGGCATCGGTTTAAAATCGAAAGGTAGGTGCCCGATTGGCCGCACAGGATAACACCACGTGACCTTGGATCATTGGATTCCGAGGGCATAAAAGGAGGGAGCGGAAAAACGTTCAGCAGTTCTCCTCCAGCCGTTCAGCCGCCCAGTCCGACTCCCAGGTGCTCGCAGCGTCCGAGAGATGCTAGCGAGTGCTGCTACGACTCGACCCTTGGCAGAGACCTCTCGGATCCTCGTCCCTCTGACTCCCACAGCGTCCGTGGGACACTGTGAGTGCGTCTGCGAGGTGAGAAGTAGAGTGCGGGTACACCCAGGGATTGAATAGGGATAGGCTACGCGCTGCTCGTAGAATATTTACTCTGGGCCGCACAGGGTTTTCTTTAG